ATCAATCCTAATTTATGTCATATACTAACATACTAAATCTGTTTTTTTTTATCTACGCACCTGGTATACCATACCAAAAGATAACTATTAAACATTTAATAAACATAACAATTCTTATTACACTAATTTTTACGTAGTTTCCCTTTCTGTTGAACTATTTGTTGTATCATCTAAATAATGTTTAATAAATCTTTAGTGCGCATATACATTGTTATTTCAAAATGCCTTAGAAAATAAGATTAAAAAGAAAACACTTTTAAGATCATAACAATTCTTATTACCCCAAATTCTTAAATAACTTTTCTTTCCACTCTTACAGGGTGGCCCATTAGTGCGAGAAAGTCCAATATCGTCTTTGTTGTCGAAGATATGAAAAAAAAAGTTTTATACAGATGTTGCATGGCACGGTTTATAATGATGCATATCCTTGAAATATTTTCTTGTATACAGGGTGACAAAAAAAAATTATGATAAAGTTTTAAGTTTTTTTTTAAATTGCAGTTCCTATTTTTCTGTAAACAACTGGATGTAACATAAAATTCTGCATATAGTACCCTATTTTACTTGACTCGCGCACGTAGAGTTCCGTACCATTCATTATCTATACCAACATTAGACACTATATTATTATAAACTTTTTTTCCGATTTAGCTGAAATTTTGAATGCGCGTATAAGTAATTTAAAATAAATGAAGAAACACATTATTAAAAATTGTATTAATCAATAATAAATATGTAAAAAGTAAAAATAAATATGTAAAAATTAAAAAAAAAACTATTAAAAAAAAGTCGCCTTGACTAGGACTCGAACCTGCCTTGCTACGGCTCCAACGTCATAGCAGCGTAAAGTCACGGCACATAAAACAATCGGCACGCCAACTCTACTCAGATTCCATTGTTTAAAATTTCTATAAAATTTGACCTTGTCGGCGCCATTATGGTTTCCTAGTCAGGGCCGGATTAAAACGTATCAAAACATTTCTCAGAAAATACGACAGGGTCGTATTAAAAAAATACTGTAATTGACTGAAACTGAATTTTATTTACAATACTTTTGTCCAAACAAATGAATCGTTAACCGCGCATACTTTTCGAAAAGTAAAAATGAAAAAATCAATTAAATATTTCACTGTAGAGAATAGACAATTAAAATTAAAAAACATGCAACTAACAAAAACATGCCAGGAGTTACAAACAAGAATTAAAAAAATACCAATAAAATATTTATTGAACAATATAAAGAGGCTACGTACAAATTATGCCCATCAAGGGGCGTAGCAAATTTTATTAATATTCAAATTTCACAAATTAATAAATCCACAATTTTTTTGAGAAACTTCTATTTTTTTCATGGCAGGAAACAAAGTAGGTACCGCATTGTATTTTATACGGTTACAAAGTGAATTGGTAAACATTTTAAATTCAAAGTGAACAGAACACAACCTGTACCTTTTCTGGGCCTTATTTATATTTTCAACCAAGTCTTCTCTATTAGATGCAATTGCCCATGTTCTTGCCCTAAAAATGTATTGTTAACTTATTTTCGATATACTCATTTTATTTATTTTTTATAATTATATTTAAATGCATAATATAATGATTTTTAAATTTAATTTTTAATGTCTAGATTCTAGATACAACATTAAATTTTATTTTACTAAATATTTAACATTAAATCTTACTAATATTAAAGTTTGTTAAGATTTTTAATTAGATCTACCTATTTAGCTGAATGTCCTAATATGTATACTACTGTTTTTTTAACTAAAATATGTTAAAATAATTAATCACATATGTATATACATACCTAATCGGATCTGTAGGAAACAGAAAGAAACTTTTATTGCAGTTTAGTCCTCTACTCGAGCAGTTTTTTGCTGCACAACTTCGCCCAGGCATTTTAAAAACACGTAAAAATTAACGATTTAAAAATGTTCAGAAAAACAAAAATAAATTATATAACACAAGAAACGAAAATAAACTAGAAAAACCAAATATATAACACAATAAACAAAAATAAAACAACAACTATAAAATATAACTCAAGAAATAAACAAAATAAATTAATCCGTACGCTACTGACTCGAATCAGCCGAAAGTGTGCGCAGTCGATGAAACAAACTACGACACTGGTTACTTTCTGTTGATGGAAACCCTAATGGCGGCGCGACGATATGCGCGTAGCGTTCCCGCCAAAGAGAGTTAAGGCGTTGTCGCCTATTCATTCCGCGGCGCTGGGAAGAGAATTTTTTCCGGCTGCGTAAAACTTTGTTGCCGCTATAAGCGCGCTTTTGAAACGCGGCAACGCATATTTATTAGTTATAGTCGAAGTGTTTTTTTACATTTATTGTAGTTTTCTTTTTAAAGCAATGAGTTCAAGTACGGACGAAAGCCAATTTTTTGTGAAGAAATTCTAACAGAGGAAGAGGAAGAGGGGTGAGAAAAGTTTTGACTCATACGAACTCTCAAATTTACGAAGTTTGGAGAGTTTTACCATCTTTTGTCAGATTTAAAAGACATAATCATTTTTTTCAGTATTGTAAATATAAAGGAAGTATTTTTCTCCTAATTGAGGGTTATAGAAGCAAAACACCGAGCATCTCTACTCATCATATTTTATTCAAAAGAGACAAATTACTAATACTTTTGATAATTCTTATTTATTCTGATGTGTATATTAAAATGGTCTTCTAGAATTTAAAATAACGTACAAGAGATTTTAAAATGATATTACATTATGAAACAATATTTTTAATATACCGGGTCGTCTCAAAAAAGTGGCTCAACCCTATAACTTTTTTTATTTTCAGATAAAAAAACAGATTTGTATGTTAGTAGGTATATGACATAAATTAGGATTTATTGACGTATTCAATTGTTTTTGGTCTCTTCCTGTTTCACCTGAAATGATTACATCTTTTTGATTTTTAAAGGCACCCTCGGTATATTGCTACTTTATTCGATAAAAAATGACACTCTGAATAGAATGACATATCATATGTCAACTTTGACATTGTCGCTTAAAAACATATCCTATTTTAAATTTCAATCCAGTTTTTTCAATCCACTAAGTTTTAATCAGGAGCCTTGGAAAAATAGTTTTGATCGTCTAATAGGTTTCGTGTCTTGTCTAGGCCGGTTAAAGATGTACAAATCGTATTTTTAATCATACATATGTCAATTTTTCAAATGGAACAAGGGTGACTCATTAGCATATTTGAAAAAGCATTTTTTTATGAATATATTGATACCACACACTTGGTATTTCGAGTCAAATTCTGTCGTTATGAACCGCGTGTTACAATTACAATTAAACCATATGCGAAAATGTCAAAAAGTTGACATATGATATGTCATTCTATTCAGAGTGTCATTTTCTATCGAATAAAGTAGAAATATACCGAGGTGCCGTTTAAAAATTAAAGTTATAGTCATTTCCGGTGAAACAGGAAGTGACCAAAAACGACTGAATGCGTCAATCAATCTAATTTATTTCATATAATTAACATACTAAATCTTGTTTTTATTTGAAAATATAAAAATTATGGGGATGAGCCACTTTTGGACGCACCCGGTATAATAAAGACAGTACCGAGTTAAATAAATGTAGTTTTATTTTATCCACTTCCTATCTACCTTCCTTGCTTTAATGGAACAGATTTATGTTTTCTCTAATTTACATAATAAGACATGACTTAACCAGAAAAAAAAATTACAATCATATTTTTTTATCTATTAGTCGCCGATTAGAATTATAAATTGGAATTGTCACTTTTGTTAAAAAGTTAATATTAGGGGTTGTAAATGTTTGACTACAATTAATAATTTATTATTAATTTCAAAAATTACCTAATTTCGATTATAAAAATCTCTTCTAGTAACGTGTAGACTTATTATTTTTTATCCTTTTGGACTCTAAATTGTTTTTGCCTAAATTTACCTTTAAAATACAATTCTAAATCTTGATACGTAAAAGTTTAAATACGATATAAAGCCAAATTTAAAAGAGCTTCGATTAAAAAAAAAATTACCCGGCTATGAGTACGCACAGTTCAGGCAACGCGCCAAAACGCGGGAGACGGAAAAGTTTCTAGAGAGTCGTCAGGACTTCTTGACGGAAATCCCGCGACGCGCTATCTATCGCTGCGCGCACTGTGCGTTTTGGTCCATTTAAATACATGGCAAGCAGACAAAAGAAATTTTGACATGACCGCAGCGCCGTTCCAGCGCTGCGGTCTAGTGGGCGACAACCTTTAGCCTGCCGTGTGATTTATATGCCGTGGTAAAGTCCTAACGCTTTAACCACGCGGCCACCGAGGACTTGAAAGATTCTATGTAAAATTCTTACTTAAAAGATAATGTTTAGTGAAAATACTTTTTTATTTATAAACATTTATTTAATTCTGTTTTTAGTATTTGTTCTTATAGCGGCAACATAGATACATTATCTGTGAAAATTTCAACTGTCTAGCTATAACGGTTCATAAGATAGACCTTTGTGACAGACGGACGGACGGACGGATAGCGAAGTCTTAGTAATAGGGTTCCCGTTTTTACCCTTTGGGTACGGAATCCTAAAAACCGGCTTGAATATAACTTTATTTACTTAGCTATATTTTCCTAAACATCAAGGATAATAGAATATATTCGCGAAGAAATATTTACATTAACTTATACAAGGGCTATACTAATAGAGAGTATTTTTCATGGCGTTTATTATAATTATATTAGTTATTTTGGCCTAGAAACATGTTTTACTGTAAATTAATACGATTTTCCCACATTTTTATATTATGTTTTACCCCAAAAAAATTACGTAATGATCTTTCAAAACCCCCTGCCTTCCCCACGTAAAATTTACTGAAATTTTACTTGAACCCCTCCTCCCTTGATTCCCTCAAGTAATTTTTGTACGCCCCTTTGTAGAAACATCCTGTATTATTGAATAAACCTATACAGCAAGTAAACATTGCTGTTTTGACATGCCCCGTTTGACACCGAAGATAAGCGTTTATTTCTTGGACGTCGTTTACACCTTATATGCGATTACAATTCTATAAATCTTTGATTCTACCGTAAACAATAATTATTGTTATTCTTGAACCCGGATAGACTATATTAACATACTCTACAAATACATACATCCACTTCGGAGATATTCGAATTCCTTGAAGACAAAACATATAGATTTTATTATTTATTTGCTTTTTTCTAAGTTTGATCTTTTGGGACACCCCTCCGTGGGACCCGGCTATGACCTACGGACTTTGACTCCGAAGATAAAACAGATATTGTGATTTGTACTGGGTTTTGAGTAAATTTGTTGAATATCTGTCTTGTCGGTAGCTTTTTTTCTTGAAAACTATTTGGCAGTGTAGGCTCTACATTTTAGAGGTGTTTGGTGAATTCGTTTAGTCACATGGATTTCTATTGAATGAGGAAGTAGTGTAAAAAAGTGTTTTTAAACAGTGTTTGTTAAGGTAATTCTGTATTTTTATGTTATTTTGTGTATTTTACTATTTAACGTTAATAAAAGTATCTTTATTTTGGGGTTTTGAGAAGGTAATTTAAAATCTGAGTTTAATAAAAAGAATCTTTGAAATTTGTGTGTTATATAGACATTGTTATACGAAACGGTTAAGAATTATTTATTTTCTAATAAATTATCTGTTTAGGAAATATGAAAAATTGGATTTTCACAGAATTGTCACTTTTAAAATGTATCGATCTCTATTAACCGTTCAAGTGGTGTAAAAAGTGTGTTTAAAATGTGTTCTGTAAACTAATTTGGTATTTTTATGTGTATATGCATATACAGGGTGAGTCTTAAATACGTGCACATATTTTTAAGGGTGGTATATTTCGATCCTCGAAATACGTCTTTGAGTGTTTTTGGCGAAATTTCCTTATAAAAATTCTATTTCTCAATTTTTTTTATTTTTTGAAGTGAAACTTCTTTACGCGCGCTGGGAGTAAAAATTCAAGGCCTTGACACACGAGCTAGCGAGACGGCCGTGATACACGAGCTAGTGGTAACGGCTTAGAAATACGTAGTGACGCGACGTGTATTTGTGAGTAGTCCACGTGTGTATCAAAAATATTGATATTTTAATACAAATTTTGTGAAAGTGACTCAAATTATTTATTATTTCTTTATTTTACGCGTATAAAACTATTCGTTATAAGTAAAAAACTATTTTTTACGCGTAAAGAACTATTTGTTACACGCAATAGCCTGTGCAAAAGCTATTTTTTACCCGTAAAAAATATTTTTTTAATTTATTACTTTTTCAATATTATTCAAACTTTTTTAAACATGTTTTTCAAATACTACAATTTAATATCTGTTAATAAGGAATTTCATAGTCCGCACACAATTTTTTTTAATTTAGAGTTAAAAATCATAATACCTTGATAATATGACAACATAAACAGTAAATTAAAATTAGAGGAACAAAAAAAAACAGAAAAAATCCAGTGGTTCTCAAAATGTTAGATTAGAGAGTAGATATTAGATATTAGAAAAAGTCATATTTTTTGGAAGTATAACCACAGCTGCATAGGTATAACACCAAAGAAAACATATATTTCTTTTAGCAAGATCTACCAGATACTATACAGAATACAGGATATTTGCCGTTATTTAAGCTCACCCTGTATAAGAAAATCATGGAAAATTTGTATAATATCAAGTTTCTAGGACTAAGGAAAGTGTTTTAATTCTCTACTGATGATAGTGCAATTGATAGTGCATTAGTGCAAAATGCAAAAAGAATAATAAAAATAAATGTTTTAACTTAACTCTACAGGGTGAGTCTTAAATAAGTACAAATATTTTCAGGTCTGGTAGATCTCGATAAAAGAAACATATTTTTTCTTTACCGTTTTTCAAATATTATGTCCAAAATAACCAAGATATTTTACTTTGAAAATTTCAGAAAAAAATAATTTTGCGCTTAAATGTTCAGAACCATCGAATCTTTTTTGGGTTTTCTTTGTTGTAAATTTAATCTACTACCTATGTATGTTATGCAAATAATGTTTTTTAACAAAAAATTAAAAACAAATTCAAAGAATTTCAAATTTTCATTTTTTCTTTCGCAAAAAAACCTCACAACCGTGTTTCTAGGGTCGAAATATATTACTCCTAAAAATATTTGCACTTATTTAAGACTCACCCTGTATATAACTATACAGTATTTATACCTAGATATATATTACACCCGCTTTTAGTATAGTTTATTGAGAATAATTCAATAATTCTCTTATTAGCCACAAAATGCTACTTCTTCTATTCTAAATCTAATAATGCACATTAGATACTAATAATCTTCAATAGTGATGCATGAATGAAAAGGATATTTTAAAAATATCGATTTTACATTTTACATATCGACTTATTAAACAGTTAACAAATATTATTTTACATATAAATAATAAATGAACTATATTACACTATTAATATTTTAGAGAAAATGTTTTCTGTCTATACTTTCTTATAATTTTCATTATTGGAGTATGTATTAAGTAAAACTAATACAAACTAAAGATACTTTTTGACTTCTGATTAAAAATAGCGATAAAATTAATTATAGAATATCATTTTATATGTAGAAAAATAAAAGGGTAACTATTAATGTGATTTCGAAACAATGGTTGTTGTTGGTAATAATGGATCCCTCGTAGTCTACACCCTCATGTATGTTATGAACCAAAGCGTCATACAAGATGACAGATCATATAATTATTATCTAATGCAGCTTGGCAAAGGTATGATAATTTATACATGTCAATTATGGTATTCTTATTTTTTTTAATTGTAGAAACCCCAGCTGAACGATGTTATGGTATGTACGGATGTTTTAAGTTGGATTCTCCATGGACGTCAGAACATAGACCTGTATCGCTATTCCCTAGTGATATTAGGGAAGTAAGTAGCTTTTTATTAAGATAATCTTCAAGGAATAACATCAATGAATATCACTAAAATAAGCAATTAAGAATAAACATATAGATTAAATTATTCAAAACAGAATACGATCCTATAACATGTTGCCACTATAATTGTTATTAACAAATAACAAATTAAAATTAGACGATTCTGCTATTTTTTAAAATACGACAAAAGTTGCAGAATTCGCTGTTGTGCATTAGAATTTAAAAAAAATAACAGCGGCTGACTAGTAAAACTTCTTGATACGGCGACCCTAAACTCACATCGTGTTATTTTTATAACTGTTATTTTTGATCTATATAACTGTAAAGTTGTAAAATATCAAATCATCAAAATATCAACCCATCGCTAATTCAGTAATGTATAGTTTGGAGTCAAATCAATTAAGAACTCGGATGTTCGAAAAGTGTACAACCAAGAGTGAGAAATGTATCTTTAATGTAATTTTCTTTATAGATTGATCCAAATTATTTTCTACACACAAGAAGTAATCCGGAGAAGGGTGTCCATATCGATGTCAACGAATATGAATATGTATCAAACTCTAATATCGATGTCACTAAACCTATTTATGTTATAACTCACGGATACATGGAAGGTGGAAGCATCCATTGGGTAAGTGACAACTTTTCATAATTGTCTTAGTGTTCATATTTTTAATTTTTATGTTTAGATACAAAGAATGGTCCAAGAACTACTTTCTGTAGAAGATTGTAATATTATAATAGTAGATTGGCATGGCGGGTCCAGTCCACCTTATACTCAAGCAGTAGCAAATATAAGGTTAATAGGTAAAACCATTATTATTTATTTTACACTGATGAGCCAGCGGTGACTTAAATTTGGACTAAAATGTTATATTTAAAAAACATTTTTATTTATCTATCTAAGTATATACAGGTCTGGACATTCTAAATCGGTGGTCTGGATTTTAATGTGAAACATAATGATGGAGATAGCATAGTAGAAAAATCAAATAATTTAAAAAGAGACATAAAGTGGGTTGATATATTTCTGATATGGCATTGTCAGGTTTTCTATCAAAAATTTCAGACCGCCAAAGTAGGCATGTCAAAATTCTCAAATATACTAACTGTAGCTAGAGTTGAACCATTAATATGTCAACAATTCATTATTACTTTAACTACACTTACAATACCTTTTATAATTTTCAAAATTTTATCATTTACATAAAGCTCAGCTTTGACCATGCCGTACATTCAAACTGACAACTCTGCGTTTCTTTGCATCTCTGTCTAGCAATTGCTCCTTTATTATCTCTTGTATCTTGTTTCTTAAATCTTCTTATTTACGCTTAAATAAGATAATGAATTACAGAGCACTGATTTACAATGACCAGCTTCATCAGAATTGTAGTCACAGTTTATTGTCCTCGGCGAGAGAATATATGACAATCTGTCATTTAAATTTAATAGCAGATGCTTTTTTCTGTTATTTTTATCTTCCATTAAAATCATAAATTCTCTCTAAAGCTACGTCCACACCGAAAGCAACACCTAGGAACATTATGTTACTAGTTTATGTTGCTTGTTCCTGGAACTTGTTTATGAATGTTGCCAAAAGTTTATTTAAGTTCGTCATTGTTTACGGTTGCAGCAACAAAACTTTCTATAAGTTGCTTGTTTCCATATTTAGTGGAAAAGATCAAAGGAAATATAGAAACATTGGTAAACATTTTATGTTTCTCGATGGTATTTTTATAGCGTGGGCAGGTCGTTGGTTGTTTCCAAAACCCGAAACTTGTGTCGTGAAGCCGTCGCATCGCTGAAAAAAAAAATCATCAGTTGATTTAGTAGTATAATAATAAAAACAAACATGCCTTTTAAATGGAGAACAGAAAATATATGTTTAATTGAATTATACCGAAATGCCGAGGGTTTGTGGAATCCACGGGATAAAAAGTATAAGACCGTGACCAAAAACAGGATTTATGGGCGGACTCTTTTCTTTGTAAAATAATTACAATTGCAGCTGCTGCTGCTGCCTGCAAATCTTCGTCGGACCACATTGTAAACTAGAAACAGAAATACACACTGCACTAGTGTGGACACATGTTTTCTGTTGCAGCAACACAACGAAACATTCACAAGAAAGAGTTACCGTGGTGTGGAAAGAATGTTTACGGAACTTTTGCTGTTTGCGGTTGCGGCAATCTGCAACAAAATGTTCCTCTGTGTTTCTTTGGTGTGGACGTAGCTTTAGACTACACCTTTATACTGTATAAAAATAAATGTATGTTCTGTGATTTTAGGTAGAATGACAGCTCATTTACTAGGAGACATAGCTCAGCATACAGAAAGGTATAGCTTGGAACATGTCCACTGTATTGGACATTCTCTTGGTGCCCATTTGTGTGGATATGTAGGCTATACAGTTCAAGATGTAAGTATTATAAATTATTTAATTATTATTATCTTCAACAGTATTTTTCTTACCTAATCCTAAAATCAAATTGTTATAAATTGTTTCGTTGTTTTAATAAGTTAGAAGATATGCATGTTAAAAAATAAACTTTGTAGTTAGTTTTTACAATAGATTTCTTTACGAATTAAATGAAAATACGACAGATTAAGATAGTTGAATTTGAACACTTGAATATATTTTTTGTTTGACAAAGGACATAAGAACAAGTAAAGTCTATCCAACGCGACAGGGAAGATTTTAAGACATCCAAAAAATGTCCGAAAATACAATTTACCTGTGAAATCAAATGAGACAACTGTCACTGTCAACTGTCATGTTTAAAAAAACAAATTATTCATTTTCCAAATAATCAATGCCTATAACTATATAAATTGCTATTATTATGTTTAAAAACAAAACTACTGAAAAAGAAATAAGAAAATATCAAATAAACTATAATTAAGTTTCTAAGTATATAATAATATGTTAGCAATTTTCTAATTATGTATTTGTAAATACGTTTAAAACCGAAATTATATTGATAAAGGAACGAAATATCAATAAATAAATTAATATTTTTTCAAGTATCAATTGTTATTTGCAGTATTTTATATATTTATTTCCTATGTTTCATTTCTATTATAAAATACATATTAAATATAATATATTAATTTTCAAAAGTTAGATATGCACTACTGTTTACAGGAATTTAATTTAACTCTAGGCAGGATCACGGGGCTGGACCCGGCGGAGCCCCATTTCGCAAAGACACACAGGCCTGTCAGACTTGATCGGAGCGCGGCGCAATACGTTGACATCATACATACAGACGCCACCCAGTTTATCACGGGAGGTCTGGGAATCACAGAGAGTATAGGTAATGTTATTGATAATATTAGCTGTTATACAGCTGTTGTAAAAGTTTCATATGATGATAAAACAAAAATAAAGTAATAGATTCTTTGTTGGTACATCATAAGTAATAAAACTAGTAATTTAAATAAAATAAAAATGTGTAGATAATATAACAGAACTAGATACACAATTTTATACATAAAATGATGAAAAAGTGTGTTTTAATACAAACTTTTTTTAGGTCATGTCGACTATTTTCCAAACGGTGGAAACAGACAGCCTGGTTGTGAGAAAAGCGTTGTTCAATTTATAAACGACCAAAAGGGCAGCTTTTTTAATGGTAAGTTTGTGTTATTTATGGTATACCTATATTAGGGTGGGTCAAAAAAATCGAATCTACCAACGAAAAAAATGTTGGTAGACACCTCAAATAATTCTCTCCAAAAAATCTGCCTTAAAATAATCAAACTTCAACCTTGTGGCGTGGAAATTCATATTCAGAATTTTTTCTTCTTAACCAGGAATTAAACTGCTTACAACTTTATTCTAGGAATGAAAAAGTACCTTGGGTGCAACCACGAAAGATCGCACCAACTGTTTATTGAAACTATCAACCCTAAATGTACTTTTTTGTCTGTGATGTGTACATCATATCAGGTTTAACAAAATCATCTTGGTAGAGTGAATGTTCTTTAAAATAATTTATTTTAGGACTTCCTAGATGGAAATTGTTGGGGCTGTGGAAAATACGGGGAAAGGTGTATACAGTTTGGCCACCAAGGAATGAAGTACTATAATAAATATTACGGTCCTGGCTTGACAAAAAGTTTAAATCAGTATCTGCTTACTGGAAGCAAGAGGCCTTATTGTAGTAAGTAAAGTAGACCATTATTATTTCTCTAGTTATGTATTATTAAAACGCCATTATTTATTTATTAAAAATCAACTACAGTGTGTCCAGCGAACAGGGACAAAACATAGCATGTATGAGTATGTCCAACAAGAGGATACATGACAGTGAAAGTTGTGTATATTGTTTTAATACATCCCTAAATTGTATTTTCTGTCATTTTTTGTATGTCGTCTATCGAAATCTCTCCTTTCTCGTTGGACAGATAATCAAACTAATTAACTGATAAATCCTCGTGCATATAATTAAATTTTAAAGAATAGTTTTTTAGTATATTATTTTAAGGCCAAGGCTAGTCAGTTACTTGTCAGTACCGTGGTATTATTGAACTAAACTGCAAAAACAACTGTCTGATTGGTTTTTGGTCAGGTTAGGTCATTTGTCATTTTAAATTTCAATATAGAGTGCCATAGGGTGGCTCATTAGCATATTTGGAAAAAATCATTTTTTACCAATAATTTGGTACCACACACTTGGTATTTCGAGCCAAATTGTCGTTATGAACCGCATGTTACAATTTCAAATAAATTATATGCGAAAATGTCAAAAGTTGACATATGTTATGTCATTCTATCCAGAGTGTCATTTTCTATCGAATAAAGTAAAATATTGTTGCGGACCCGTGCCGTGTGAACTCAGCCTTAGGCCTGGCCACTCGCCTATGACTCATACGCCCAGCGATGCCGACATTCTAAGAACGAATAAGAATTGGCTAGACAAATCTGGATTGTCTGTTTCTCTCCTATATAAGCAGACGCCGGGGCCGAAGAGAGATAGAGATAAATAACCGATCGACGCGTAGAGTTACAATCGCCGCGCTAATTCAAAATAAATTTCTGTTAGATAAATAATTAGATAAATTGTAAATAAGTTATAAATAGTTCTTTAAGTCTTTTAATCGTTATTGTTTTTGTTAATTAGTGTTAAATAAATTGTGTTTAAATAAATGGTAACTTTCTATCCACACGGAACCGACGAAAAACGTAACAATATACTGAGGGTGCCATTTAAAAATCAAAAGTTGTAGTCATTTCCGGTGAAACAGGAAGTGACCAAAAACAATTGAATACGTCATTCAATCCTAATTTATGTCATATACTAACTAAATCTCGTTTTTGTATCTAAAAAAATAAAAAAGTTATAGAGGTGAGCCGCTTTTGAGACGCACCCGGTATAGACCTAGCTGGGCTGATAAATTTGGAGTTCTGATTCAAATGTTTTATATTATCTGATACATGTTTTAATCGTTTTTAGAGGGTCACTATAGGATCGGCGTTAGAGTATCTGACAATGAGGATAGTAAAAAACATGGCGGTGAGATTGGACAGCTGGTTCTTACAATTCATAATACGACTGATGGTACCGGTCACAAATCGCATCCTGTCGGATTTATCGGTGGCTACTACGAACCAGGTAATTATTTACTGAAAAGACTTGATATTTTCTCGCCAGTTTAACTATTTTTAATTATTTTTTCATTCCTAGCATTATATATGTTGATGCGTTGCTTCCATGCAAGCACTAAATTTAATGCTCCATCTTCTTGTTTTATCTGAGTATGATATGCACAATTCCCCATAAGAATGTTTTTACAATCTAGAACTCTCTGACCTATCCTCTCTGAACCTCTCTATTGCAGCCTTATGACATTGCGTTTAGTATATGTTATATAAAACTAAGCACCAAATCAAAATCTTAGAATGACCTAATTCTAGGATTCAATTCAACTACGGCTGCAAGGGCCTGTTGTGGCTAACTTTTATAATTAATTATATTTCACCATCCAATACTTGATATAAGTAGGTACATTCCAGACTCTCCAAGATCCGCTAGGTCTTCTTCTTCTTTCTTCTTTCTCAGCCTGGTTCCATCCAGTGTTGGATATAGGCCTCTTCTAGGTTTTTCCATGCTTCGCGATCTCTAGCCAATCTTATCCATTGTCTTCCCGCCACTGCCCTGACGTCATCGACCCATCTCTTTTTTGGTCGGCCCACACTTCTTGTTGTTCCCCTAGGTCTCCATAGGATTACTTTTTGGGGCCATCGGTCTGGATCCTGTCTTGCCACATGTCCTATCCATTGCCACTTCAGACTTGCCACTCTTTTAACGACATCTATTAATTTTGTTTTTTGACGTATGTGGGTATTCCGTATTTTTTCTCTAATGGTGACTCCCAACATGATTCTTTCCATGGCTCTTTGTGCTACTCGTAGTTGTTCTGCTGTTTTTCGAGTAATTGCCATAGTCTCTAAGCCATACGTAAACACAGGTAGAATGCAGCTGTCGTAAGCCTTTTTCTTTAGGTTCATGGGCACCTTTTTATCCTTGAAAATATCGCTCATATTTCCAAATGCTACCCATGCCAAATGGATCCTGCGTTTGATCTCCGTATTTTGGTTTTCCTTGCCCAGGTTGATTTTATGACCTAAATATATATAATGGTCTACGTTTTCAATAATAACGTTATCCACGGTAATGTTATGGATATTGTTGTTCATTATCTTGGTCTTCTTCAAGTTCATTTTAAGGCCAATTTTCTGGGATTGGTCATTTAGCTCATTTAGCATGATGTTTAGTTCTTGAATGTCGGTGCTCAGCAAGACAATATCGTCTGCAAACCTCATATGGCTAACGTGTACCCCATCAATGTTTAGACCTCTATTTTTCCATTCTAATTTCTTGAAGACATTTTCCAGTGCCAGTGTAAATAACTTGGGAGAGATGGTATCTCCCAAGTTATTTACACTGGCACTGGTATCTCCTAGTATTTTTTCTGTTTTGAGGTCATCATCTAATTTAACTTGGAAGGTTGCACTATCCCACCCGCTAGGTCTAACATAGTTTTACTCAATCATTCTATATTCCTTGCATGTTTTCATATGAATAAGTACCCGCTCCTTAGTTTCTTCACTTTCCTTGTTTATTTCCTTTAAATAATCCTAAAATCGTTTCTTTTCTTGAAGTGTAAATATATTGAGGTATTTGTAGGTGGATCTTATATGCGAGTGGTAGCCACAGACGAAGTTAAACATTTGAGAGCCATTGAAATCGAATGGAAATACAACAGCAGTATATTCAATCCTCTAACGTGGAGATTGTTGACCACACCGATGATTTATTTGACCGATGTAGTGGTGGAATCTCTTGAAGGTCAACAAAAGTAAGTATCTATTACTTCTCCTTAGATGCTTATCTTTAAAATTCAAAATGAGAACTGATGCCCAGTACTTTAGATTACAATAAATAACACTACACTTACGTTAACTATTATCACAGCTTATTCGGTACTCAGCTGGTTATCTTCTGGTGGATAGTCTTATTGAAGCGAGAATAAAAAAAATTAATAAATTAAATTTGTATTTATACTTGTTATGGCTTCTTGCTATGAACTACAAGTATTCTTGTCTCAGTTTAATACACACAAACGTCGACGAGTGCCAATGATCAGCAGTGAAAAGGGTATATGCGTAGCAGGTTCTCATATAGCTCTCTAAAAAAATAAAATGCCTAGATAATTAGCCTATATATCGACATATTTCCTACAGGCATGTGCATATAGTAACTTTGAGAAGTCCTTCTTTGAAAAATTTGAAATGAGACTGTGACTTGAGGCTTGAGGTTTAATCAATGACAGACCCAAATGGACACAAGAAAGATTCTGTGGAAGAATCATTCTTGTGTCCATTTGAGATAAATTGAACTGAAATAATAAGAACTAAAATTCTTAACATATAGCAGTCACTTACAACCCTAAGGTTCAAACTGTCTACTGAATTTACATGGGAATAATGTTATTAAACACAAAAAAAGCTTTCAGATTGGCTAAGAAAATTAGCTTCAGCTTAATGTCTATCGCAGCAATGAAATATAAAATCGCAGCAAAAACATTAACGTACTCTGATAAAAAAAAAGCAATTACACAATATGTGCTACAGATATTTTACAGTATCCCAATAAAGGGAATGTAGAATGTTTAGGGGGTTAATCACCGCAACCTTAGAGATCTATTGTGTGTTTCCCTTTCTTGAGTTATAACGAGTTTTAACTCATCATACAGTCTCAGAGTTTTGACAAAAGTGAGAGAGAAAGAGAATTTGATTAATGTCGCGTCAGCATCTAGGACCATTTAGCGACCACTTGACAAAAGCCATGCCAATAAAGAACCAATAATGAAATTTTTGGCGAAGCCTAGAGAGTCTCTCTTTGAGTAATCCTCACTGTAACTGCGATTTAACTTTGACATTACCAACTCAATAGACACCTCAAAAAATAAAAATAAGTGATATGCAGAGAGGACCTTAACTGGAAAACGATACGGTTCAGCATGCCATCAAACAAAACTTTCAGATACTCTTTTCTGAGTGGTCTGGCTTTCTGTGGCCGATTGACTGGAGAGATAGAATAGATAGAACTATCTGTTATTGAATAAGTTATGCTTTTGTAATATCATTAATTTTGATTTTTTTATATAAACTTCAAAATGATTGTTCTTAAAAACAAGTTATTTATTAAACCCTTGATAACAGTTAAAAAAAATAAAGTGTTTTATGTTTTTACTCACATATTTTCTCTATAAATGAAATTTAGAATCACTGTATGCCCCAAGGAAAAGAAACCTCTCGTCACTGGCTCTCCACAGCTCATGATTCCTACTTATTGTTGAATAACGAAGATCATCCCTACGCAAAACGAAAAGTCAATGCAAGAAGAAGTGATATATAAAACTAAGAGTATATTTTATGTAACGAATTTCGTCCTATCACAAACCATTCCTGAAAACTTTTTATTTCATCCCATTCTAGTATTTATTGTAATTTAAGGTAAATAAGAATATTTTGTTTAAGTTTTACTATTTTTATTGTGAAATAATAAAACAAATTTATGTTAATAATGTTTTATTTTAATTTTAAAAATAACAAATATATTTTTTCACATCAAGCGAACTTACAAAAACATATAAACAAGTAACACATTTTTTTGAGTAAGCACAGACAACTGTTAGTATATAATTTGATCGTGGTGGAAGTTTTTGAAATATTTTATAGTTTTATTGTCATATGCTTTCTACTCAACACTTTTTACGCATGTACTTTTTCGAGAATACCATTGAAATAATTTAAAAACATTAATGTAATTATGTAGTATCGATTTATTTTAAGCATTTATTTACAATTCTTACTGACAAGAAGTAGAGGAATAAAGTGTATATATGTATATCCTGAAAAATATTAATATTCTTTTTTAGGTTAGGAATTCAAATCCATAAATGTACGAAAATACAGCTATTATAATCTTGCGATAAAATCAAGTAATGCAAGCAAGTTTATTACAAATACTTAGTATATCTTAATTATTATTCAACAATTTATTTCTATATAATATACAGGTTGTTCCAAATTCGAGTCTCGTCATTGGGATCTTGAAAACTAGAAGAGATCGAGGTCGGTTAAATGGAGGCAAAGTTGCGCAATATGATGCTGATCAAAAATTCCGAAGATCTTTGGAAAGGACCGAATATTCGCGATTTCGTTATTATTTTTTGTGACTTTGGGAGATTTGGTTACAGAATTCGAGCCCAACTCTCAATAAAAAATCTAAAAAATTTTATTGACATTTTCTGATTTTTATACAATCTGGTACGTATGATCCATGCTTTTCATTAATTGCAGGGTTGTCAAGTTTTATGAAATTTTGTTAATATTAAATTTTATTATTCCTATGAGAATTATACAGGGTGGTCCGAACTGTATTCCGGAAACTTCGGCAGCATATTCTGCAGATAAAAATAAGTAAAAAAGTTCGTATAAATGTATGTCCTAAAATGCCTACTTTCGGAGATAGAGAGTGTAGCAGTTTCATTTTTATTTCGAATTTTTCCAAATAATTTCTGAAATAACGTCAATATTTGGATGAAAATCGTTATCTGGGAGTTTTTTGACATGAGAAATTTGATTTTGAAGACAATATGACTCCTACTTGTAGAAAGCGCCACCTACATATTTTTTAATTGGTTTGAACAGTAATAACTTTTCGTCCGTACCTGTATAATACCATTGTGTAAAAAATATGCATTTGCGACGTTTTTTACGTAAAAAAAGTCTCTTAATAAAAATCGCTACGGGTAATGGTTCTCGAGATATTTGGAATCAAAATTACCAATACCTGTCATCATTGACATAAATTAAGTATGCGTTGACTAAATAGTTCTTAGACTGAAATCATAAATTTGAAATGTTTTTGTGCCAAAAGTTCAACAGAAACTGTTTTATCATCATTTTTTTGAAGAAAAATTTACGATTAATTTAAAAAAAATAAAAAGTCCCTAAATTTATCATTTTAGTCAAATAACTCTATCTACTCAACATGTTTATTTTTTGTCAATAATGACACGTATTGATTATTTCCATTCTAAATATCTTGAGAACTGTTATTGCTCGTAACGATTTTTACCAAGAGGCATAAAAATCATGAAAATGTATATTTTTTCACTCGGCAGTTTTATACAGGTACGGACGAAAAGTTATTACTTTTCAAAACAGTTAAAACACATGTAGGTGGCGCCCCCTACAAATAGGAGTCATATTGACATCAAAATCAAATTTCTCATGTCAAAAGACTCCGAGACGCCAATTTTCATCCAAATATTGGCGTTACTTCAGAAATTATTTGGAAAAAATCGAAATAAAAAAGAAACTTCTACACCCTGTATCTTCGAAACTAAACATTTTAAGACATACATTTATACGAAGGTTTTTACTTATTTTTATATGCAGAATATGCTGCCGAAGTTTCCGGAATACAGTTCGGACCACCCTGTATATCTGCCATCGCATCGTCCAGAGCATACTTAACTGTAAAATTTTTGTTCATTGTTGAATAATAACATTAGTGTAATTCGCAATCTAAAAATTCCGAAATACATCTCAAGAAAACATATAGATTATCTCTTAAAAATATAGATTATTTTAAGACGTAATTAGGTACAGTTTGACACTAGGAAAAATGGCGTGAAAACGGCAAAGTGACAAGTGAAAATGGCAAGATATGTCGCTTTACGTCACATCGAAGAATCATAAGAATAGGGAAACATTTTCTCAACACCTCGGTACACCGTCGTCCTTACTTATTCCATCACAGTAATTGACAGGTTTTTGGTTTTGTGGTTATCGAACTTATCCATGGTTTTAATGTCCATGATGGCGGTCAGAGCCACTATCAGTCCCACACCTATAACAACATTTATTTTGAATATATCTTTGAATAAAACTTTGAATAAAAAGATTAAGGAAGGGGCATATAAAAAATCTTAGATCGACCGCGACGGGACTAAAATGGCCGACTTAAATTCCGGTTTAAGGTTGATTCTCACTATACCTTCCATATCAGCTCCATTCCGTTTCCCTTCCGTTTACATAAAATATTATATCATGTAAATGAATGGGACAATGCACACTATCCGTTCCGTTTCCCTTCCGTTCCATATCCTTTCCTTCCATACATTTTTTTGGCGGATGGACTGAAACGTATCCGAAACAACGTTGTCAAGTTCTTACATTTGTACCAGCTCTATTAAAATTTTGGTTAGATTTATTTATTCTTTCACCTCTTAATTAATTACATTTTTCAAAAGATACAAATTTTTAAAATAAAACTTTCGTAATGATATAAATTGTACAATAAAAAGTATGGAACTGATACGGAACGGAAGCTTACGTATAGCGTCAATACAATAAAAAATACGGAAGGGATATGGAATGGAAATAGAATGGAAACTGGAACTGGAAGGTATACTGAGAATCAACCCTTATAAGTGCCGTTCTAATTTTATTCAAAACGTGTAAAAATAAGATGTAGTGTAGACATGAGGTAGACTCAATAATTTGTTGTTTTATTTTACGTTGTCCATGAATGTTGGTAGTTATTAAAATTGTCATAAAAATATATAATTCTAATAAAAATAGATAAGTTATAATAATTATTTATTAACACAAACATCCGATACGCTACTGAAGCAGGTAAGTCAAATTGACGTATCTAAATTCTTTGACATCTAATCTTTGACAAGTAGTATATAAAAGCAAAAATGCAAGAAAAAAATACATAATTAGTTAATTTTAAGTGAATTTCATAAATGATCGGCTTACACACGTATGTATGTATACTAAGGGCTGGCAAAGGTTAGTCTTGGGTCGAGATTTCCGTATGTAAGAAGTAAAAAAAAGTAAAGATTTCAGTTAACGTCTCCTTTTTGCTGCCAGGGGCGCTATTCTGTAAAATCGTCGGTAACGGTAAGTTACGACAGCTCTCGATACGTACTTGTGTATAGTAAAAATGTGTTAATTGTTGTTGTCATAGTTACCGATCGGTCCTATGGCAGATATCGCAAATTTGTACCGACGAAAATCGGTATCTCTACCGTGCCCTTGTCAACCTCACGGTAGAGATACCGAGAGTTGTCGGTACAAATTTGCGATATCTGTCATAGGACCGATCGGTAACTATGACAACAACAATCAACACGACGCTCATTGGCCGTACGTGCCGATAGCTGTCGGTAACTTGCCGATACCGACTATTGTACAGAATAGCGCCCCAGGGGCGCTATTCTGTAAAATCGTCGGTATCGGTAAGTTACGACAGCTCTCGATACGTATTTGTATATAGTAAAAATTTGTTAATTGTTGTCATAGTTACCGATCGGTCCTATGGCAGATATCGCAAATTTGTACCGACGAAAATCGGTATCTCTACCGTGCCCTTGTCAACCTCACGGTAGAGATACCGAGAGTCGTCGGTACAAATTTGCGATATCTGTCATAGGGCCGATCGGTAACTATGACAACAACAATTAACACATATTTACTATATGCAAATGCGTACCGATAGCTATCGGTAACTCCCCGATTCCGACAATTGTACAGAATAGCGCCCCAGGGCTAATCTGAACGGGGCCTACTTTGTTTACGCGGAATCCGAACCGCGGTCCTCGGCCATATCATGGTCAATGGCCTACCGACTTGGTAAGTGTCTAAACCGACTCTTACTCACGAGATATCCGATCTCATCCGGCCTCGAACCGGCGTGAATGAGCAGTGTGTGTCAATAGATTTTACACTTTTGTCCTTTTTTTGGACAACAGCACGATACATAGTTTCGAACCGGTCACCCGTCCATCCACTACTATCGCCTTACGTCGCTTAACTTCGGTGTTCTAATGGGAACCGGTGTTTCGACGTAGCTGGGCCGTTGTCCCATGTAAGAAGAGTACAATGCGTTTATAATGTACTGAACAAAGAGAGAACAGTAAACACGTTGCCAAACGTATGAAATGAATCGAGAAACTGTACACATTGCTAAGAGACGTGGAAGGGGATATAGCAGAAGTGCAAGCTAGAAACACTTGCATTTTTGGTAAAAATAAGTGGAATTGTTTTTCGTCAGTGATTAGAACTCAAAAATCGATATCTCGAAATTTATTAGAAATAATTGATTGTAGTTTTTTCAAAAACTTTCTTAATATTTCTGCTGTATTTTCTTCGTAGACAGTAAGTGAAAATCTTTATCAATAAAAAAATTACACGACTGCTGAAAATTGCTATACCCTAAAAGTAAATAGATGGTTGTTTACAATTTTTGAATGGAAAAAAACAACCTTATCGAATTTTTCTTATGTAAACTTCAAAATAAAAAAAAGTTTCAATATATAAAGTGTTTCTTGAGTTGTGGCGTGTTATGTGTTAAGTTTTTAAGTTAAGTTAGTTTTTAAGTTATCGCGATTACTGACGTTTTCTCGTTATAAAAAAAATGACACCTTAATATTCCATTTCAGATGCTCAGAAACATTTCTAATGATTTTATCTAGTTATTTTTCGAAAAAAAAGTCTGTTAAAGATAAACAGTTTGCGATTGTGATTTTACTTCACTTGATAGGGAAATGCGTACCGGCAACGCCGCAACAGCACTCCGTCGCATTTCTCTCACTCCGACTTAATAAGATTCCTATGCGATTTACTTCCACACATGTAAATACCGACCCAAGAATAACAGTTGCCAGCACGGTATTATACCGGGTGCGTCTCCAAAAGGGGCTCACCGCTATAACTTTTTTTTCCAGAAAAAAAATCGAGATTTGGTATGTTAATATATGACATAAATTAGAATTCATTGACGTATTCAATTCTTTTCGGTCACTTTCTGTTTCACCGGAAATGACTACAACTTGTGATTTTTAAATGGCACCCTCGGTATTTTGTTATTTAATTCGATAGAAAATGACACTCTGAATAGAATGACATATCATATGTCAACTTTTGACAATTTTTAATCAAGGAGCCTTGGATTAGAGCATTGGAGTACTCTAATGTTATGATATTAATTTCTCTTTTTGAATTGTCTCCCACCCACCAATCAAATCACGGTATTTATAAAGAAATATACGTACCTAAAATGGTAAATACAAAGAGCCCAGACCAAATAGGAGCAGTTGTAAACGGTACGCAATCATTTACGTCTCCGAATCTTTTCTTTTTGGCGTCGAGCTGGACTTGCAGATCGTAGATGATCAATTTGGTACCGCTTTTCTCGTCGGAGAACACCGAACGACCGTTACAGTGGTACGAAAAATCTGCAGAAGCCATTATGTTCTCGTCCGTTGTCAGATCGTAATTGAAATTGTCATTTGATTCGTCGATCATTTCAACTTTTACTGTTTGCAAGTACCTGAAATTATTCAATACAAATCTGTTTAATATAGGAATATGTAATTCTAAATCAATTGTCTGTATTTTAACGTCTAAAATAATGATGGAATATCGTAATAGAAAAATTAACCATTAAAGCCTCCATAGATGGTCAATTTTTTAGCACAGGCTCACTGACCAGATTTGTATATGTATATTGATTATTAGGTATTCTTTGTATTTTGACACTTACCAGTAACCGCTGATCCAGGATATACCAAACCTCAAGGTAACTTTGCCCTTTTCTTCCAAAGGAATCGGAATATTAAACCTTTTATCCACCGTTATCAACGAATTATCGGTATTTCCCAGATATTTAGTGGTATTATTAATTTCCAGTTTTAACGGTTTTGAAGAATACAAAAGTGCGTATTGATTATCCTTTTTGTTCTGTCCAATGTATATAACCGCTTCTAGAAAACATAACCTGAATATATCTAATAGACAGGATGGACAGTGTTAGGAAAAAAATGCCTTTACTACTCGAAACATTCACTTCATTTATTTTACAAAGCCAGCTACACACGTTCCAGCATACTTGCGCAAGTATACTTGAACGTGTATAGCTGGCTTTAAAAGTGCGGTCAATAGCATATTTTAAAAAATTCATGAATATCCATATCAAATATATTTTTAAACTACAGTAGAGTATTTTTGAGTATACAGTGGGGGGGAATTTGTCATAAAGTTTTGATTCCAAAGATACCGTCATGTCACCATTAATGTTTTTTGTTAAATTAGATTTGAAAGACGCTGTAATAAAAACTCATAGCAATTTAAAAAATAAAAATTTGTAAATTTATAATTTTAAGAGGGTAGAGAATTTAGTCTATTATTACGTATGCTAGCATATTTTATGAAAGGATTTTAGTGAAAATCTGAAATAGGTAACTTGATATAGAGCTTTTCGGAACGTTGTATCACCTTGTAAATCTACTTACTTACCTTTTGGAGTCGTTAATGATTTGGTCCTGTCATTTTCAGGTGATTTTCCGACAGCGCGCTTTTTTCTTGGATACGTCACATCAAGCACGCATAAGAAATCGGTAGAATTACTTAGTTTTCCTGTAGTTTTTTGAATCTTGTTCGTGTCTATACCGTTACAATCCTCCGACAAAAATAGCTCTAAAAATAGTTAATTTCGAGATAAATATCACATCAAAGTACCTACAATCAAAAGGTGGGACAATCTTTCTAAAAATATCTGTCTCCAAAACAGAACAATAACTCAAAAAACAAAAAACAATAAGTTTATCACTACATAAAATAGTTTTTTCGTTTTCATTTAGAAGAGTGTTAAATGAATGCGTGAAAAATTTGGATAGGTGATTGATTTTCAAAACATTATTCTGTTTTTTTCAAATATTTTCTTGAATCTGAGTTCCATTACTATATTATTTGCTTATATCAAGTGAACCAACACAGTCTACATTTAATTACTAGGTCATATTACTACAATATTACTAGGTAAATTTACTTGATAATGTTGACAGTCACCTACTGTGTATTTTTTTCAAATTTCGTGTGCTGCAAGTGTGCTGTTCTAATATTAAAATTAATTTTTCCTTCAATGTCAATACAAATGTATAGGTAGCTTAACTTAATTAAATATATTAATTTCAAAATAATTAGGTGAAATTGCGAAAAGATCAAATTCAGTGGAATCTATGAGTGGAATAATATTGTTTGGCCACCCTGTATATGACATAATCAAATTACAATTTCATCTAAGAATGCAATTTGATTATTCACATTCACACCACACACTAAACTTAAACTTTTCAGTGAAAACTGTTTTTGAAAAAAAGTACAGATAATATTGTGTTTTTGGTTCAGCTTGTATAAGTAAATTATGAAAAAGAAAAATTGAGAAAAAAATTATGCGATGAAATCCGTATTTTAACTAAGCAATTATAAATATTGCTATATCTAGAATTATTTAGAATCGTTCTCTACCCTGTATACCGGGTGCGCCTCTAAAGTGGCTCACCCCTGTAACTTTTTTAATTTTTCAGATAAAAAACGAGATTTGGTATGTTAGTATATGACATAAATTAGGATTGCATGACGTATTCAATTGTTTTTGGTAACTTTTTGTTTTACCGGATATTACTACAACTTTTGATTTTTAAATGACACCCTCGGTATATTTCTTAAAAAAGTTGTAGTCATTTCCGGTAAAACAATTGAATACGTCAATCAACCCCGATTTATGTCGTGTACTAAAATACCGTATGATAAAAAAAAAAACGGCGTCCAGCTTAGAAATGAACAATGATAACATTCCCCATATAATTTTACATACAAAATGACAGCGATCTTCATTTCATAGCCATGGCTGACGCCGTTTTTTTCGATCATATTATGGTACCAAATCTCGTTTTTTTATCTGAAAAATAAAAAAAATTATAGAAGTGAGTCACTTTTGAGATGCACCCAGTATATACCAGTTAGTAAGTGATATAATAGTATTATATCAGATAGCAGTGGTGATATTTGGTGGTCATACAGAATTTGTGTTTAAGCAAAGAACCACCTAGAAATCTGTCTTTTGAAAATGAAACCACAACAAAAATAGGTAAATAAATTCACAAAAAAAAATAGGTGATATACTTACCCACAGCATTAGAAGTAGCGATATTCCCATTCGGATTATACGAAGAGTGAAACCCATTCATAACTTCTTTCAAATTTTTCGGTATAGCGGCATTCCCATCTTTTAGAGAAACTTTGAACAGATAAACTCTTTCTACACCCAGCGTTTTTACTAATTTCTCCAAATCTTCATCATCAAACGGTAATAACGGGGAAATTTCTACCTTTTTGTTACTCCAAGCTATTATTGCTGCATTAATTACGTAAATATTTAAGAAAATTGTTAATAAATGATGTGTGATATGCATTTTCTTTGTTGTGTGCGATAAGGGTTACACCTGTAGGAAAATTAGGGGTTGAAGGAAAATCAATATTTTCCTTGTTTGACATTTTCCTCACAAACAACCGAAAAAAATATATATTTGCAATAAAATACTAAGAATTTTATTAAAATTACTTATATTTTTATTCAGAAATGTTTGTATTAAACTAATAATTTAATTCAAAAAAATATTTAATTTGTGAAAAAATTCAAAAAAAAAATACATTTAAACAACATTTCCAATAAAAACGTAAAAAGTTATTTAAAAAATACATTTAAACAAATTCAAATCTTTCAAAAGGGTAGAAATAAAATAATTCATATATAAAAAAAAGAAAAGCTTGACGGATATTTCGTTTTTGACGGTTGGCGACATTTTGTTTGACCGATTTCAAAAAATTGAAATTTGAGCGCCATTTCTTTCATTATTTTTACAAATTAAACAATATTAAATTAAAAACTGGTCATTTATGGCTGACGCAGAAGGTAAAGAACCCAAAGAAGAACAAAAAAAGATCGTCCATACTTACCCTCTGATCCGAGTGAGTCATTCCGCACAATATATTGATCTAGTCTTATTATTTGGGGTTTCACTTTACAGCATTCGGACATGGCAGAGGAAATTAAGACTGAGTCAATGGAATTAGTTGTAACTGCTTGCGAAAAGCATTCAGCTAACAATGAGGTATATTAATTTTATGTTGTTTACAATATGGATTAATTAATTTTGTTAATGTGTTATAAGGCTGCGGCAAAAATGATCAAAGAAGAAATGGACAAAAAGTTTGGACCGCCTTTTCATGTAGTGGTAGGCGAAGATTTTGGTTTCGAAATATCCTACGAATGTACAAATTTACTTTACATGTTCTTTGGGGGAAATTTAGCGATATGCATATGGAAATGTTAAAATATACAAAAATAGGAAAGTAATAACACACCAAATCAAAAAAGAAGTGACATACATTTTAACTTATCTAATATATTTATTAACTTTATATTTTTATATATTAGGATATAAAATAAGTTTTGTATAATGGGCAAAGTTATAAATACAGAACTGCTATGATAAAATTATTTTACACATTTTCTAATAAAATATTCTTAAAAAAACAATTTTAGTTTTTTTAGTAAGAAATACTAAAGTAACACACACACACACACAAACTCGGTAGGTAACAAACTTCCAATCATACCACTGTTCATATTAGCTACTAATAATTATGTAGAATGTAGAATGTTTAGGAGGGGAGTTAATCACCGCGACCTTATAGATCTATTGTGTATTCCCCTTTCTTGAGTTATAACGAGTTATAACTCATCATACAGTCTCAGGGCTTTAACAAAAGCCAGTATCTGAGACGGCTCCACAGAGGTCAGCTCTCCATCCTCGACATCAGACGTACCAAAGTTCATGGCACGAATGGTCGTCGTCTCGGCGCACGCAGTGATAATGTGTTTTGGTGTTTCCCCATTAATAATTATTAAATTGTCTATTTTATTGTATTAATATTAAAGATAATTTTCGGCATAATTAAGAGTACGTGCTAACATGCAATTTTTAGTCGGCCGACTGTTTAGTTGCAAAAGTGAAAACAATATATTCTCATGGAGCCGATCGGCCGACTATTTGATTGCAGAGATTTTTGCTTTATGCAATCATTACCAAATTACATTTAGGTAGCTTTTATTGAAATTTAACATTTATTCTCTGTTTTTAGAAAATGTTAAATATGCTAAAATTCAATTAATATATACAGGGTGTCCCAGAAATAAGTGTAAGTATTTTAACTGGTAGTATAGTTCAACCCCAGAAACACGCCTATGAGGTTTTTTTTCGCGAAAAAAATTTTGAAAATTCGAAATTTTTTGAAAATTCTTTTGGAATTTTTTTAGTTAAAAAACATAATTTCTTGATAATATACCAAAATAGGTATTATATTAAATTTACAAGAAAGAAAATCCACAAAAGATCCAGTGGTTCTCAAAATTTTAGCAAAAAGTCATTTTATTTGGAAGTTCAAAGTAAAATAACTCCATTATTTTGGACTTATTTGAAAAACGATAAAGAGAAAATATTATGTTTCTTTTATCGAGATCTACCACCCCTTAAAATACTTGCACTTATTTCTGGTTGCGACACCCTGTATATAGTTGTCTAATTAATATAGACTTGTCCATTACAAAAAAAACACAACTTTGACTTGTAACTTTTTTGCGAACACATAGTATGTTCCCAAAATGATATTTCAGTACAAACTATCGTTCTCCTTGGAGCCTCCGCGCGTCCTTTGGCAGCATATTCTACAGATAAAAATAATTAAAAAAGTTCGTATAAATGTATGTCCTAAAATGCTTAGTTTCGGAGATACAGGGTGTAGAGGTTTTAATTTTATTTCTATTTTTTCTAAATAATTTCTGAAGTAACCTCAATATTTGGATAAAAATTGGTGTCTCGGCGTTTTTTGGCATGAGAAATTTGATTTTGATGTCAATATAACTCCTATTTGTAGAGGGCACCACCTACATATTTTTTAACAGTTTTTTTTTAGTAACTTTTTGTTTGTACTTGAATTTAAGCAAAAAAAGATACATTTATGACGTTTTTTGCGTAAAAAAGGTTTCTTGGTAAAAATCGCCATGAGAAATGATTCTCGAGATATTTGGAATCGAAATTATCAATACCTGTCATCATTGACATAAATTAAACATGTTGACTAAATAGTTATTAGACTGAAATCATAAATTTGAAATGTTTTTGTGCCAAATGTTAAATAGAAACTGTTTTATCATCATTTACTTATTTTTATATGCAGAATATGCTGTCGAAGTTTCCGGAATACAGTTCGGACCACCCTGTATACATTTTTTTTAAATGGCTACATTAAGAATGATTAAGCAAATGGTGGACCACTTTTCATGCTATTAGCTACTTAAATTAACCAAGAAATTCGTAGGATATTTCTGTATTTAAAATAAATAACGTTTTTTAGCAGAAATCGTCGTAATGCGTCGTCCGTCACACATATTTAAGAATGAACTGTCATTTTCTAAATAAACCAATAGAATTGCCCTCGTCTAAACACTTACCTGGGAATTAAAATGACAGAACAACTGTCACACACATGTATCCTGTTATTGGACAGACTATTTGTAGGCGAAGAATTCTGTTTTGAAATATCATCTGAATTTACAAATTTATATGTTTCTTAAGGGAAAATTAAAATTATACAAAATGAGGATTGGGCTCAAAACACACTAAATAAAAAACATATGTTTAACTTAATATATTTATTAACTTTATATTTTTACCTATTAGGATATAAAATAAGTTCTGTATAGTCAGTCAAGTTAAAATACACAATTGCGATGATTATAAATTATAACATTATTTTAACACACTAAATAAAAAACATATGTTTAACTTAATATATTTATTAACTTTATATTTTTACCTATTAGGATATAAAATAAGTTCTGTATAGTCAGTCAAGTTAAAATACACAATTGCGATGATTATAAATTATAACATTATTTTGTACATATTTTCTAATAAAATATTCTTAACAAACAAGACCATTTCTTTAAATAACAAATAAAGTAACAAAATTTCGATTTTACCACTGTTGTGTATGCGTAGTATTGTTATATATTTTTTATTTCATTGTTTATGTTTAAATTGCACATAGTTTCGTTTCTTGGCAAGCGTTTAAAATTTGGAGATACTTTTCATAAATTTATCAGTCTGAAAATGTAACATGAATAGTAATTTAAAATAATAAGAATGGGTCAGATTTCAATAAATAAAAGTTTCAATTTATTTTTTTTTGTTCAAGTTTAGGAGCCTTATAAAATATATAAAGTGGTACTAACCCTACAAATAAAGCTTAACATATTAGTACAAAATAAGGGATTTTTTTTAATAAATAACTTAGTGCTTTACTATTTCACGTTAAAGAAAAAGAAACTTTTTAAAAGCATATTTTTTCTTTTGAAATTTGATATAAGATGTGATTAAAAAAGTTTTATATCAAATAAGTGGCAAATGGTGACAGCTAAACAAAAATGTAAAGAAGAGATAAAAAAGTTTACACTTAAAAGATTGTTAAAATGTGGACGCGAGAGATGGGAGAATTTCGACAGACGACATTCAAAAATTGACAGATAAAACAATTTACTGTTGAATTAAAATAACAGACAACAACTGTCTCTCTCTCACTGTCATAATATCTTCTCTCGTGGGACATACTATTCAAGGCGTGCCAAAAAGTTTACAACAAATGGACATTTTGCGTTTTTTTTTATTACAAAACGTTATTAAAAACAAGTTTATGCGGATTTACTTGAGCATGCCCAATAACAAAAAAATATTTTGGCAATCATATGGGACAACTGTTATGGCGCCAAATAACAAAAAAATTATGTAAGCAAGAAGTGAGGTTAGGTGACAACGATGACAAATTATCGAAAAACGTCAAAGACAAAATGTTGCTTAGAACTCGATTTTCCGTCTATATACCAAGAATCATAAATATACAGGGACTATCAAAGAATATAACATTTTTGATATTTCACAGAATATTTTCAAGAAATCGTATTCTTTCATTAAAATTTCATAAAACAAAATGAATTTCTACAAATACAATATTTTATCTTTACAGTTTCGTAAATAATAGTAGAAAATAACAAATGTCAATTTTTAAGATACCAAACATGACATATGCTCATGTTATGTCTAAATTATTATTTTTTTGTAATAACAAAAAAATAATAAGACAGACTGAAGAAATTCTGAATAAACTTTTTTCCATAACTTAATAATAAAAACAAAAAGTTTTGTTGGGAACTTTTTGGTACACCCTATATACAGTATGTCCCCGTTTTGTTCTTTACAAGAGGAAAAACTCTTTTATTACTGACACTTTGGGAAAAATGCATTCTTCATAAAAATGTTTGCTTGTTCTAAAATGGTTAATCCCGTTTATACTTTACCAAATTTCAATACCGTTTTAGAGAAAATGAAAAAAAAACATGAAAATATAATTCAATTTACTCCTAGAGAATTTGCCTATAAAATTATAAAAACCAAAACGCGTTTCTATAGTAATATAACTTCGTTTTAATTCTTTGGTAGATTGTTATTCATAGAATTTTAGTTAACGTAATATTTTTTGCTGTTTTAAAATGTTAAAGAAACACAAAATTTATTTAGTTCGATGCTAGGGATAGAGTGATAATAATTTATCAGAAAATGTGATACTTAACAACAGCAAAGAATATGACGTCAAGCAAAATTAATAAGAACCATCTATCAAAGAATGAAATCAAATTAATATTACCATAACCTTTTGATTTTTAGGAGTTCAGGAAGGAAAAATTCCATATTTTGATGTTTTTCTTAACTTTTTCTAAAACGGTATGGAAATTTGGAACAGTATAAAGATGATTAACTATTCTAGAACAAGTAAATTTTTTTATGAAGAATGCATTTTTCTCAAAATGTCAATAATAAAAAAATCATTCCTCTTGTAAAGACAATCTGGGGACATACTGTATAGTAGTATTACGAATCTTTGGAAGACTTCAACGGAAACCATTCAAAATTACTCATTAAAAAAATTAAATAACGCTGAAATTAAAAGAACCAGAAAATAATTACTATTAAGGTCTTATCGATAAAACTGTAGATTAATATTGGAATTACTACCTAAGTTTAATAAAAAAAAACTACAGAGAATAGAATATTTCTAAAATCGACAGTTTGATAAAAAATATTGTTAAATCTTAATTATTGCCGGTTTTTGTCTTCAACTACTGGAGTATTTCAAAGCTTTTAAAGGATCCTACTATATCGAATTTAAATTAAGGGGACTTAAAAATCTATCATTGGTTCGTCGAATATTTTGTCACGATCTCCTTTGTTAACTTGGCAAGATTGAACGCTATATCTCTGATGTTAACAAAGTGAAGATCGACCGCCTTCGTGTCGGCGTTCAGTTTAGAATTTTGCAACTTCTGACATTCGGGAAGCAATCGACTAGCCACTTCCAGCATCAATTTGATTTTTTCACTTTCGGGATCCTGAAAAACATGAAATGGTGTAAATAATTATGAAAAAATGCAGGTTATGATTGATTTGTTTAAAAATAAAATGTTTTCGAGTAAAAAAATCGATTATTTGGATATAAAAAAAAAATATTTGGATATACAGGGTGTCCCTGGCTGAGCGTGCATTAGAAGTTCCCAAAGAACAACAAGATCTAGATCGGAGATTATTTGCACATTACTGTTTCACAATGAGATCTATCAATTAAAAATATTTCCTATATGGCTGAACTTTCGGAAATACCGGAATATGACAGCAACTTTCTTATTTTAAATGGGTACCCCCATTTTTTATTTCATACTTAAATTCTCTGTAAAGTTTTATGAATCCCCTTCTATGAATTTTGATATTAGACACTCTATACCTAACGATAACCGTTTTTGAGAAAAAAATATTTAAAATTTGTGGAGGAAATAAACTGCCTGTCAAAAAAATGTGTATAGCCTAAACGTCAAATTTAGTGATTACCACAGCTACTGTGACATAAAGAGGAGACATGTGGCTATCTATTTCAAAAATTAAATTGTTCGAATGTCATATAATATTGGCTGTAGCTGTCATGGAATTGAGCGATTAAAAAATTATCATAAATCATTTCTTTGAAATGGAAACCCACTTTTTTATTTCACTATTGAAAAGGTTTTTTTTACTTTTTGATTATACATATTGCTTCGCTATACCTAAAACAAATCGTTATTAAGTTATTTTAGATTATGTTTTAAAACGTAGGTCTATTTTTCTTGATTTTATCTAGCTTCCTTTGACATTAAGTGTCAAACAATCAGACAATTTATTTCCATCTGTGAGAAAAAGCTGCTTAAGAGTTTAAAAAGTGTATTCATAAAAATATATCTGGTATTTTCGCTCTTTAGTGATATTTAATAGTTGATATTGTCAAGGTGTATGTGGCGCTAAACGGTATTACTGGTTGCCTACCTTACCGCAACGTGTCAAGAAAAATGGCGCTTTCGCCAGAAAGTAAAAGAATATTACAGAATTCTTTAGAACGTTCTAGAAACACTCGCCAGAGAGTATATAAAGCTCGCGCTTGGCAGTTGGACGAGTTTGAAGTTTGAATATACCGCGTTTGGAAATTGTGAATTAATTGGCGAAGGTGCCAGAGTTAGAGTAATAGTAGTTGCATAAATTGTGTTTTATAATTAGTATAAATTGTGTGTACAGAGTAAGAAAGAAATAAATTCGTTAAGTATTTTATCGTGAGTTTAAATTAGTGGACCCACGGAATCCGTAACAATATTATTAATAATATACCGTATGATCAACAAAAAAAAACGGCGCAAAGTGTTGTCTTGGAAACGAGGTTAAAATCAATCAAATCAAGAAAAATGTACGCTTTAAAACTAAATCTTAAATAACTTAAAAAACAATTTATCTTAGGTATAGGAACATGTATAGTCAAAAAGTATCGAATTGAAAAACCTTTTCACTAGTAAAATAAAAAAGGGGGTTTCCATTTGAAAAAATGATTTATGAGAATTTTTAATCGCTCAATTCCATCACAGCTGCCGCCATTATGATGACATTCGAACAATTTAATTTTTGAAATAGATAGTCAAGTCTTCTCTTTATGTCAAAGTGGCTGTGGTAATCACTAAATTTGACGTTTAGGCCATATACACATTTTTTGACAGGCAGTTTTTTTCGTTCAAAAATTTTAAATATTATGTTTCTTCTCAAAAACAGTTAATGTTAGATATAGAGTATTTGATATCAAAACTTATAAAATTTGACAGAAAATTTTATCCTGTAATAATAAATGGGAGTACCTATTTAAAATAAGAAAGTTGCTGTCAACTTCCGGTATTTCCGGAAGTGCCTCCATATTGAAAATATTTTTAATCGATAGATTTCGTTGTGAAACAATGATGTGCAAAAAATCTCCGATCTAGATATTGTAGTTCTCTAGAAACTTCTAATGCATGCTCAGCCTGGGACACCCTGTATACGTATAAAAACCCTAATTAAAATACATCTAAGTTTTTTATATGTAATAATTGATAACTAATAAATTGTTTACTTACTTTTGATAATGTAGTGGCCAGTTTGACTATAGCTGCCTTCACTTTTTCGCCATGAACAACACAATCCTCATTCTCCGGTACCTGGATACTTTTATACATTTGTTGAATCGTTCTTGTCACTTGCTCAGTGCATTGTAACACTATCTCTCTATCTGGCGACATCGAATATAATCCCGGCGATGTATTTCTAATATTATCGCCCTGTTTAAACTGCAATAAACAAATTTTTGACGAAAATACAAGTTGGTTCATTTGAACTACTCACTTGTGCTTTGATTGCATGCCAATTAGGCACTTTGCCGATGGCTTCTCTAGTTTCAAACATGCTATTAGGCCTTTGGGATTTTCTGTTGGACCTTAATTCTACCACGTCTGTGCCCTTTCCATTTGATATTATCGATGAGTCCAAGGTTTGATTCTTCAGAACAAAAAAAATATATTTGTTTCAAATTGTAAACTTAAAATGTTAAATGTAATATCAAGAATATTAAGAATAAATTTAAGAAATATTTTTAGGAAAAAAAAGAATTAAAAAAGTACAGGGTGTTCTGGAAAGAAGACGCAGTAGTTTTTAAATTATTAAAGAGGTATAAATATTTAATACACTATATACCGGGTGCGTCTCAAAAGTGGTTCACCCCTATAACTTTTTTACTTTTTCAGTTAAAAAAACGAGATTTGGTATGTTAGTATATGACATAAATTAAGATTGATTGACGTATTCAATTGTTTTTGGTCTCTTTCTGTTTTACCGGAGATGACTACAACTTTTGATTTTTAAATGGCACCCTCAGTAGTTTTTTACTTTATTCAATACAAAATAACATTCTGGATAGAATGACATATATCATATGTCAACTTTTGACATTTGAGCATATGCTTTATTTGAAATTATAACATGCGGTTCATAACGAAAATTTGACACAAATACCAAGTGTGTGATATTAAATTATTCGTAAAAAAATGCATTTTCCAAATATGCTTATGAGCCACCCTCGTTCCATTTGAAAAAATTGAGATATGATTAAAAATACGATTTGGGCATGTTTTAACCAGTCAGGACATAAGACTATCAAATCTATTTTTCCAAGACTCCTTGATTGAAAATTAGTGTTTTTAACATAGCCATGGCACTCTAGATTGACGTTTAAAATACAATTTCTAATTAAGCAAAAATGTCAAAAGTTGACATATGATATGTCATTCTATTCAGAATGTCATTTTCTATAGAATAAAGTAAAAAAATACCGAGGGTGCCATTTAAAAATCAAAAGTTGTATTCATTTCCGGTGAAACATGAAATGACCAAAAACATTTGAATCAATCCTAATTTATGTTATATACTAACATACCAAATCTCGTTTTTTTATCTAAAAAAATAAAAAAGTTTGGTTAGAGAAGGGGTGAGCCACTTTTAAGACGCACCCGGTATACATATATACGAAAAGTTCATTTAAACTGCTTTTTTGACTTTAATTCTCTTATTTTCTTCTATACAGAGAAACTTTTTTACACTGTTCCGTAGCAGATTTCCAGTTTTTTGATATTTTAACTTTTTTTATTCAAAATTATGTAGACAATACAACAGAGAATTTAAAAATATCAGTTTTATTTTTAATGAAATTGTGTAAAGTTATTTGAAAAACACCCGGTATACAAAGGTTCCCAGATAATTACTTTTTTATCTATTTAAAAATAAGTTTTTTTTCACGAAGAAAATAGGATGAATCAAAAATAATTGTATTTTTTTTAAATAGTAAAAAATCTATGGAGAATACCGGGTGCGTCTCACAAAAGTGGCTCACACCTATAACTTTTTTATTTTTTCAGATAAAAAAAACAGATTTGGTATGTTAGTGTATGACAAAAATTAGGATTGATTAATGTATTCAATTGTTTTTGGTCACTTCCTGTTTTACCGGAAATGACTACAACTTTTGATTTTTAAATGACACCCTCGGTATTTTTTTACTTTATTCGATAGAAAATGACATTCTGAATAGAATGACATATCATATGTCAACTTTTGACATTCTCACTTAATAAAAAATTGTAAAATTGTTTAAATTTCAATCTAGAGTGCCATGGCTATGTCAAAACAATAATTCTTAATCAAGAGGCATTGGAAAAATAGATTTGATCATTTAATGTTTTTAGTGTCTTGTCCTGGCCGGTTAGAAAATGGCCAAATCGTATTTTTAATGATATATCAATTTTTTCAAATGGAACGAGGGTGGCTTATTAGCAAATTTGGAAAAGCATTTTTTTTACGAATAATTTGATACCAAACACTTGGTATTTCGAGTCAAATTTTTTAATAAAGTAAAAAAAATACCAAGGGTGCCATTTAAAAATCAAAAGTTTTAGTCATTTCCGGTGAAACATAAAGTGACCGAAAACAATTGAATACCTCAATCAATCCTAATTTATGTTATATCCTAACATATCAAATCTCGTTTTTTTAAATGAAAAAATAAAAAAGTTATACACACACTTTTGAGACGCACCCGGTATAAGACTGATTTGTGTATATTACAAAAAAAATACTCAATATATTAAAGACCATTGAACTTACCTCTCCAATATACTCTAAAGAATCAAAACCACTATCTCCATTGGCGAATGATACTTTTTGCGACAACCTAACTTTTAGCTCAGAATTTTCGTTCTGCAGTGCTTTTAAACACTGTCTCAATTTGGTCACTTCCGTTCTGAGATCGGTTATAGTATTATCTGAATTTCGTAACTGTTTAGTTAAAGCTTCTAAAACTTGGTTGGTTTTATTAATATTGTCTATTGAAATAATACTGTCTTTTTTATTCATCTGAAATAGAAATATAATTAGGCATAGTCTAATAAAAAAAAATTAGTTACCTCTTCTTCTTTTGACATTGGAACTGCGTAGTCTTCATCTTCGGCCACTGAATCATAGAGGGGATCATCGTCAATTTCTGAGGTTTGCCTCAACTGTATCATGCTTCCTAAAAAAAAATCAGGTGAATGAATAAACACGAAAAAAATCGGTAGATGACTGGTTTAAAAAAAAAAAGAATATATTTTTCTTGTTTTTTAGATTTTTATTGCAATTATTTGGGGAGGCTAAATACGTAAGAAAAATCCAAAAAAGGCCCATTGCTATTTCAAAAATAATATCATATAAAAAATCGACTTTTTCGTTTCCATATAAAAATTTTTCTTGTATAGGGTGAACGAAAAACACATTTTAAAGCTAGAGCATCATGATAATGGGAAAACTGTAGAGTGTAGAATCATATGAATCATATCATATTACTACAGCCTACTGCGTTTTTTTAGCCGACCATACCAACAGGTATGGTAGGCTATTAAGATCGGCAAAAAAAAAGTTTTTTTAATTTCACTCAAAATGAGTTATTTGGGTCATAAATGACCTAAATACAAAATATTTTCATGGTGTCTGTCTGTCCGTCTGTCTGTAACATGATAACTCAAAAACCGCTAAACCGATTTTAACTAAATTTGGCACAAAAATACTGTGGCACCCGAGAATCTGGCCATTAGTTTTTGGTGGAGGGGGCGGGGGTTGGTAAGGGGTATGGGAGGGGATTAAAAATTTTAAAAAATCGTAACTCCAAACCCGATTTTTTAAAATGCGGTTTTCAATTTAAGATTAGGAATAATATTTGCAACAAAATTTGTAATAATATCAAAATCAGTCAAATTCGCATTTTTTGAGATAATTGAAACTAAAAGAACTGCCTACCAACTTTTTATTAACATATTTTAGTATGGGTGGCTATACGTGCCTCCCGGCGTCAATTTTTTCAAATGGAACAAGGAGCATATTTGAAAAAAGATTTTTTTATGAATAATTTGGTACCACACAAATGGCATTTCGAGTCAAATTGTCGTTATGAACAGCATGTTACAATTTCAAATAAACCATATGCAAAATTTCATTCTATTCAGTGTCATTTTATATAGAATGAGGTAAAAAAATACCGTGGGTGTCATTTAAAAATCAAAAGTTGTAGTTATTTCTGGTGAAACAGGAAGTGACCAAAAACAATTGAATAAGTCAAAAAATCCTAATTTATGTCATATACTAGCATACCAAATGTTAATATATCGGTTTTTTTCTCACTTTTGAGACGCACCCGGTATACCAAATTTCATCTTGTTAATATGAACCATTTTTGTAAAAAAAGTTATATCTAATATTGTTACTTTGGTTCGCCCTATATACCCAAATAACTTTGTAGAAAAACTCTATATTGAGAAATTTTATACGTAAATAACTATTACATTTTGTATCAAATACCCCTAGATTTTTTGTACTGAATCATTTACATACTAAATTGTGTTTATTTGCAAAACTATATTTTTTACTACATAACAAAATGTAGCACCCACCTTTATCAGCACTTTGTCTTCTTTGGGTATCAACAAGAATTTCATACACTAAACTTTTCAGTTCAGGTGTTGTAAATCTAGCCAACTTTTGTCTACCTTGATTCCTCGTTGTTGACAGTGTGTTATCCACAGGTAAGAATGGAACATCACTAAGTTCGGTAGTATCTGCACAACTTAACCAAACTGTGAAAATACAAAAACATTTTTTTACTGAAAGTACACAAAATAAAGATAATATTTAAAAATAACTAACTAAGGATTCATTAATAAACATTACAAATTACTCATCAATGTGAATCATCAATTAAACCTAAAGGAAATCACACACCTACCTTTGACTAAATGGAAAATCTTCATTTTTTTTAAATTGCTTTAAAAACTATACACTAAACACAAACCCTATCTACTTAAAGAGCACAATAAGACTGTTTATGTACTTACCAAATCCCTTAATGGGAAGCCATTAACAAAGATAAACACAAATTTAGAAAGTGAATAACGTTATAGCCTCATGCTAAATTATTTTTAAATTATATTAGAATTAAATAGCTTACTTGATTCCGTTTGCCTTCTATCCACTTCATCATAAACATCCATTACTAACTCTTCAAAAACATGATTTGGAAGCTAGGAAAAATAGATTTATTAATGTATGAATATTTTATATTACATTTTGAAAGATTACTTTCTGTAGTTTGGCCAATGACGCTGGGTTTGATTTAAAACCAGTGGAAGGTATAAGAAAATGCACTCCAGTGGAATGTTCAGGCTTCCTTAAAGAAAGGTAATAACTAAACAAATCAGTAACCTCATACTGACTTTCTATCAATCTGTTCATTAGTTCCTTGTTGTTTAGTTGTCTGAATCAAATACAATAAATATTATAATTTGAAAAAATATTGTCTCAAAAGAAAATAAACAATGTTACCTGGAATAATCTAAAGGCGTTCTTCTTTGACTATCTGGACATGTAGGATCAGCTCCATATACCAACAGCAGTTCTACTTGCAGTTTTTGGTCAGATTTTATTGCAACATGCAAAGGAGTCGATCCCTTTTCCTAAACAAAACAAAAAAATAAGAATACTAATTTATCAGTGCTTAAATTACATTAACTCACATCATGGAAATAATTTGGGTCAGCACCAAGTGCTAAGAGCCTAAAAGATGTTTCCAGATTAGGGGTTCGTACACTGGCATGTAATTGTTTTCCCAATTCATTCTCCACACTCAATAAACCATCTTCATAGTTTTCTCGAAATGCATACAAACACTGCTGATGTTTTGCTTTAATATACTCTTGCTTGACACTAAAATTTTAGAGTTTTATAATTAAAAAGTATTTATAATTTATGATACAGAGATTCTTATAAAATTCAAATATCAGATAGATTACACACAAAACCTGTCATACATTCTCTATTAATAGATAAAATAATCTATAGTATAAATTATTTTCAGTACATTTACCTTACAGGATCTTTAGCAGTGGGTTTCTTTTTCAAAAGTTTAGCTCCATTTTCTAGTAGTAGATGTTCCCAAATATTATTGGCACCATTATTATTTAAAGTCATAACCATCTAAAAAAGTCACAATCAAAATACCTGTGCAATGAACGAAATAAACATCTTTACATTAAGCTGATTTTGATTCCAACTACTTTTCAACAATGATTTTACTTGAGATATATGTCTTCCTAAACTGCGATGGATACTACAACATTGAGTACATAATAATATCCCTTTATTAACTGAAACCCAGGTAGCATCTACGAATAAAAAAATCATAAAATTAATTCAAATAGATTTCATAAATTTTAAAGAAAATACATACCTGTCGCCCCGCAATCGCCACAAATTTCAACATTTTGTTTGGATTTTGTGCGCGACATGCTAAAGATGTTTAAATAATAACAATAAAAATAAACAAAATATTAAAATTAATTAACAGATTCCAAAACAATTACGCCATTTTTTATTCTAAACACCTGTCATCTATCAAATATTTTTTGACAGCAAGATAAATCTTGAATCAGAATGTCCAACCAAAATAATATGATCTATGTACCCAAGCTATGAACCATCACCTGTACCATCACTGTCAATAACCATCGATATTATTAATCAAATTGAAAGGCATTGGATATCATATATTGTTAGCTGTCAAATCAAATTTTAACCATACATTTCAATAGTCACATAATCTTAAAATTATAAATAAATATAAATAAATAATATGAAAAAAAAATTGAGAAGTTAAGATATGTTTTATAAATTTCTAGTGTTTATCATTATTTAGAAAAAAGAAGTGAAAATATAGAATAAACATGGATATTTTTGTAGAAAGTGTAGCGTTGGGAATAGATGCAATAATTCTAATTGCATGTATGAGACAATATTACAAAAAGAAAAACGATCTCACAATGATAGCGGTATGAATTCTGATTGTATATTTCTTTATTATACTCTTAATTGAAGTATTTTAGTCTGCACCTGTGATAAATCTAGATACAAATCTTAAGAAAGTAGTAAAATCTAATCCTGAACAGAAATTACCATATGTAGTGTTACGGGGCACGGTAAAGGCTTTGGGAAAACCCATAATTAGTACCCATAATCCTAACGTTTCTGGTGTTATTCAGTCACTAAAAATCAAAGAACATGTAGTCAAAAGAAGCTCAACTGGATTTTGGGCCGATTCTGAACGAACCATACAAGAGATTCAGAATGTTATGCCCTTTGCTTTAGAATCAAAAGGAATAATTGTTGAAGTTAGGGAACCATTGGCTGGCGAATATTTAGGTAAAAAATGTTGATTAATTATATAACTAACTAGTAAAATAAACATTCATTTGTAGATATGGATATCATATCAGATAGTTTTCATCCTACCACTCCTACTGTTTTTGATCACATTTGGGGATTTTTTGCTGGAATAAAACAAAAAGGAGTCCAATCAACAGAGAAGATGTTAAAAGAAGGCACTCTCCTAACAGGTGTTGGAGAATTGGTATACGACGATAAGTCACTGAAACTACAGCCTCCTGCCACAGACAATTGTCCATACTATTTAACAACAATGCCAATTATGACTTTATTAAAAAAGATAGATAATTCTAAACACAAGTATTCTATGCTGTGCTATATTTTTAGTGCGGTGGGTACAGTTCTAGCCGCTCTTATTATTAGAAAATATTTTAACCACAAAAAGCAGTTGAAAATGGACGAAGAACGAAAGAATCAAATGGATGAGGAAAGGAAAAACAGGAGAAGATTGATTAGGAATGTAGAAAGCTTATCTGATAATCAGATTTGTGTTGTTTGCAAGTCCAACCCTATAGAGGTAAGGAAATAATCACTATTTTATGAAATATATATGATTTCATTTTATTAACATAATAATTTAAAGCTATATTTGTATATTTATACCTGCATATTTTTACCCATATAGTCTTTTTATTAAATAAATAACAGTATATGGATATGGTGCATGAATTCAATTTTTTGTCTATATATTTATAGAACATGGGTTGCATCATTATTTAGTAGACTTCTAGATTTGATCAAAAATTCTGAATAAATATTTCTTCTTTAGATGATTATATTGCCCTGTGGACATGTTTGCTTATGCGAAGACTGTGCAGATGACATAACAGACTTATGTCCAATTTGCCGAAGGAATATTGAGATGAAGTCAGTAGCTTACGTGTTATAATGTGAATAAATCTATCAATGTATGTTAGAAATTAAAAACAACTATGAAATATTTATAATGAAGAACTAATAAAATTGTTTCTGTTGGAAGAAGAATTAAAATTTATTTGTATATATACATAATATATATTGTAAAAAATATAATACATCTATTATTAATTGAAATGTTAACTTATACTTGGTATAGTAGTTTTGCATAGACAGTGTGATTTCTCTGGTTTGGCATTACAACAATTTTTACTGTTACAACTGGATGTTTTTTCTTCGTTCTCCTTTAAGAGCCTTTTCACTTTACTTGATTTTCCAATTCCTAAACGTGGTAGTCCTTTATTTAAGCCCTCTAGAAGTATACAAGCCTTACAAACATCTTGTGATGAAACATAATTGCATCTAACACATCTTGTAAGAGTTGGTATTTTAGTTGTTTCAGCAACCTTTAAATCCTCACCTAGAATTGTATATTGTTGAAAAACTAACTTATTTTGTTTTTAAAGAAAATAATAACCTGATTTAATTATATTCATGATAATAGTTGGATCAATTTTCTCTAAATCTTTAAGCAGTACTCTGGCATGACCTCTATAAGCATTCGGTGCAAATACACATTCCGTAGTGAAATATATGAGTTTTTTAAAGTAAGCATACATTACTATTTCCTTTTCAAAAGCATATTTTAAAGGCTTTACACGGGGAATTCCATCTCCGCTATCCTAAAAACAAACATTAGAAGTAGTATGTTAGAGTTTGTAATAGAAATATTTATTTACTGTAATTATTGAAGTGCATCTATTCAATCTAGCTATATCCCCACGTAATATATTCATTAATACTGTTTCAGCAATATCATCAGCATTATGGCCAGTAGCTACATAATCTACTTTTAATAAATATGCTCCTCTATCTAATGCTTGCCTCCTAAATACACCACAGAAAGTACAATTATTTTTTCTACCTATCTGTAATATATTATTTTGTGAGAAATGACATTAAAAGTTTAAAAAATATATGTACCCACCTCTGCTACAATTTCATCCATAGTCCATCCATATAATTCTTTATAAGATAATATTTTTAAATCCATGCCATAATCTTCCTTGTTTTGTTTAACTGTGTTCAAACTATCATCTCTGTAACCTGTAATTCCTTCATCAATGGACAAAAGCACTAATTTTAGCTGGTAATTAAATTTTTCATTTAATAATTTTAATACGTAAGCTAATACAGTCGAATCTTTGCCACCTGATGCTGCTATAGCTACAGTTGAACCAGGTCGAAATAATTTTGCCCTTTCAATTGTATAGTGAATTTCATTTTCAAACGCTTCAAAAAAACATTCTTTACACAAGGCATCCCCAGTTTTAGGTCTCTGAAATAAGTTATGGAGACAATATGGTAAAATACATTTGTTTGTCTGTTTGAAGATAAGGAAAACTTACTTTCAGTATTGCCGTTTTACCACATTTTGTAGAACAAGCAGGCATGGTTTTTAAACAATTTAAAATATAATAAATTAATAAATATTTAACAAAATTAACAATAATTAACGAGGGTTATGTTAACATTAACCTTATTTCTCCTTTTTTCTTTTTATTATTTAGGCGCACACATAGCGCACAGTCATGATAAGATTTTTTAGTAACGATTATCATATATCAAATAATATGTGTATTATTAGTTGTGAATTTATATATGATCCTGGTCCATCAAAATTGTCATTTTTATTATATCGCCATATTGGTTATCGGTAAATTGTTGATGTTTTGTGTATTTGTGTGGGTTTTTGTTGGCCGGTTCAGAAATTTAAAAGAAAACCAGTAAAATTTAAGGTATGTCTAGTAGATTTTCTTTGATCTTGCAATTTACATTGATATAATAAGGTATTTTTGTATATTTCACTAAAAGGGTTACGGAAATTTCAAATCGTTTCATTTATTGAGGCCGCTTATTTAAACTCTTTGTACTGAAAGTATCCTTCTGTATGTAGGTAGAGAATAAATTTAATTGAAAATTATTAAAATTACTTGTTCTGTTTAAAAAGTAACCAGCATTTACAGAAATATAATTAATACTAACAACGTGTTGCAGTCAAGATCAACGAACTCAAATTTTCCGGTAAATTAGGGAAACGTTTTAATTTCGGTATTATTTTTTAAATAGTTTGTTAATTAATTTTTAATCTAGCCTGTTAATTAACTTTTTAATGAACTTATAACGATCGTTACAAAATTTTGTGGTATCATTCTCTTGATGACTTAAATTTAAACTATGTTTAAAGCTGAGCCAGGCTTGTATATTAATAATGAAACAACTAGTGGTTTATATTGCAGTATATTATTAAATAATAATGTAAGGAATGCGTTGCATCACATGTTCTAACGGGCACCGTTAGGTATTAGATAAGAAAAAGACTCTTTAAACATTTAAATTTAGCATTTTTATTCAAGTATTTTATCTCTTGATCGTAAACAAAACGATACTGATAATTTAATTGTGGTTTAAATTCAAGGACAGGCCGGCTTTCAAGCATTCCATTAATTATATAGTACTGCATACATACTAACATGATAGCTCTTTTTAAAAGGAAGCCCAGCCTTAAAAACGTTTATTTTTATTCTTAACTGGAGTGCCACAAGGGGAGGGGACGTCTAAACATAGAGGCGCGTTCCATAATGGCAGGACATAGACCTCAAAGTAGTACTTAGTTTAAAATGGGAAAAACAAGACGCATCGTTATCACAAGTAAACGGAGATTTAATTGTTACAGTGGCGCGCGTAAGATTATTATAAAGTTGATACAATGTAATCTGTGTGTTATTTTTTCTGAATTTAATTTTTTAAATAGTTTTTTAATTTTTCTGTTGCGTTGGAATAACATTTAGCAACTTACAAGATTGTTAAGATTTTTTGTACTAATGATTTACCTATTTATTTATTTACCTAACAACGTACAGGGTCATCACATTTTTGCTTTACTAAAGAATTTAGAATACACATACATTATAATTCACTTCTCAAAATTATTTGCATATCCCTGAAAAAAACTTTTTTATGTCTGTAAAATTATAAAAAATTAACTTTACCTTTTTCAATAGAAATCTACAGGCGTTATAATCTGTTCATATAAACACTTATTATAAAAGATTTATTTATATTATTTTAAAAGGAAACTTATTATAAATTGAATTATATACCTAGGCCATTAAACGGATTTATTTTTAATTATTAATGATTATTAATAAATTAACATGATTAGGGAAACCGCTAGAAGTATAAAAATGTCTTTCAAACTCCCTTTGAAATAATTTTAATCATTTCTTTTTATTGTTATTAAGTATATTCATATATTTTTTTTCATATGTATCTTGTAGTAGGTATTTCAAACTTGATGTTGATGTTTATAAAAAAATCAAATTTGCCCACCCTGAAGAGGGGTTCTATTTTGGTCCCAATTGATGTTCTTTCGTTCATTAGTGAAAAAAGAACCTTGCGGTTTTCAGGAACCCAAGTTACTTTTTTGTGAATCCCAAGATGCCATCAAAGAAATTGTTACGACCTAAGTCTGTTTACTACAGGTTTCTTTACTACAGTACTTTACAGGTACTAAGTTTCTTTACTACAGGTGGACATGGAATGTTGCTTGAGGTATTCATTGTATTGAGAAATTGAGGTGTTCAGTGTATCTCAGTTATCTTGTAACTTATCAAAGAGCTAAAAGGGAATCCTTGAGAACCTGGAGAAGTGACATATTAATTTCTTGATAAATACACTGAGTTTCCCATTAAGAGAATTAAATTCCTCATTTGTAACCAAAATGACACGCACTGTATAATGTGATTTAAATGTTTTACGGCGAAATTCTTTTTAGATGACAGGTTTAGGTAAACTAATTATGTAGGAAAGATAATTTTAATTTTAAAAATGTATTCTTAAAAATATATTTATATATACTTGGTTTTAAACCTATTTAAAATGCTTTTCAACAAAAATCTATTCATGTATAAAAATATATGTATATTATTAAGAAAGTTATTTAAAATTATTTAAAAATATATAACTTTTCATGTTTTATTTATTCACTAATTATAAATACACGAGAATATAATTAAAATTAGCATCTGATTAGAAAAAGTGGATTTATAACTGCACCTGTGCCTACAGACCAATACTGTAAAGGCATTTTTGCATGGGCATAATTTTAATTTATTAACTTTATTACCATTTATGAATAATAAATATTATATGAAAGCATAAAAAACATAAGGGTAAAGGATATATAATTAATCCAATATAATACCCACATTAAATACAGATTTTTTTAATATAATTCTAAATTGGTTATAAATATCTGCATGTAAAGAACAATAAATCATTTTATTATAATAGATAGTGAGATAAATATTCAGGAAAAACATCCAGACATAATGTATTATTTTGGTTCGTTTAGAAATACTGTAAAACTACTTGCGAAGATAATTAAGATAATTTTAGGTGGTTTATTTCGGTATTGGTTAGATTAAACCAAACTGGTGTCATTTTAAACAAAGAGGGTATTAATTTGTTGTAGCGCTTATGTACCTTAACATAACGAAAACCACAATTGAATAAATTATAATATTAGTTCTATATTTCCACATTATTTAAGATCTACTGTGTGCAAATTTGTTGTAACTTAAACGAACGTGTTACAATTAAAAATAAAAAAAGTCACTTGTTATTAGGTACATAACAACAGAATATATTCATTTTTCCAGATATATTATTCCCTGGACAGTCTATAGTCGCTTCTGCAAAGGAGAGATGGTATAGTCTATTCGGTATATATGCTAATAGTGACATTGTTTTGTCATTTGAATTCTAAAGTAGTTTTTCCTGTCAGTTTTTAAATTTACTTGGTTTATTTTAACATGTTAACAACTGAACAGGCTTAGACTAGCTTTTCTTGTGCAGCAAACGCAGCAAAATAGTTTATTGGTTAGCTTGAATTAATTTACTAACCATTCATTGCTGAATTTTTAAGTTATAAACTATATTTGATTTATGCAGGGTTGGAAAAAATCATGATTAAAAAAAATTTTAAAAATCAGATTTTTAAATTTAAATCAGATTTTTTGATTTTAATTCAAAACAATATTTAAATCGGATTTCCAATTGACTAGGACTTATTTTCAATTAAAGTCCTATCCTAAATGGCTAAATCTTTTTTAACTCTGCCCGATACCAATAACATTAGCAATTCTACGGTGCGTGTCATTTTTCCACATCGGTCACCAATATATTCCTCAAAAAAAGTCGTCCGTTTCAGATCAAAAGGATTTTTTTTCAAACGTCTCAAAAGTATTAATTTTTGTCATTTTAACGCCTAGGCATAAAACCACTGTTACGCCTAAGCACAAAAGTACAAAAATAAATTATGAAAAAAAATTAAGTGTCAAATTCAACGAGTGTACAAATTGTTGCTCCATTACTGTTTATATTATTTGCAATGTTTGAAATTAATTAAAAAATTATTTGTAATGTTTAAAAAAAATAGTATATTCTATTCGGAGTAAAAATGTACTTTTAGTGCCTCCCAACGTCAACGTCGGAATAGCTTTACGATGGGCCTTCAAAGGTACAGCATCGCCAAAAAAAGTATAATTTTTACTCCTATTAAAACAATAAACTATTGTTCGGAAATAGTCTTAGTAATAGTCTTAAGAGAATGAAATTTATATCTATCGTATAGTATATATTATCTAATGTCAAAATGTAAAGTACTTACAGCAGATCAAAATGTCGGTAGGAATTTGGAAACATACAAGTGTTTCAAAAAAAAAAATATTAAACAACATATTTTCTGACAACGATTATAGATTCTCTGGAATGAAGATATAGTCTCTATATCAGAAAAACCTAGTTCTGCACTAGACTGCGAATGATATGTATTCGAACAGCGAATTTTTGTCATTTATATAAATAAATTTTAATATAAATCCCTGCGTTTAGCGATCTAATTACTTCAAAAATCGGTCCAACATTTAAATTGCTGAATATATATTTTTATATAGTTTTACAACATTTACACTTTTCAATAAAATTATTTTTTTTTATTTAAATCGCACGATTAAAATTAAAAAAAAATCACTTGATTTAAATGACGATTTAAATCATACCAACCTTGCTTTATAGTATGTGTAGATTATTTGATTTCGATTTATATTTAAAAATATATAACGATATATTATACAAGCCAGTATTTTTTTTTTGCAGGAACAAAACATATGGAGACGGAAACCCAGCCAAAGGCGCCTCATGAAAATGGGGCCAAAGTTGAGGAAAACTCCGAACCCGTCGAGGCAGCAAAACAAAATGAATCACCTGCCGAGTTAAAGCCGGTTAAAACTAAAACCCCTTCCACTCCCACTACCAGATCTAGATCCAGCAGATCCAGGACACCTCAAATTAAGGACGGGAAAAATGACGAAACGCATAAACCTAAGAAAGACGACAAAAAATCTAGCCCTTTAACCAAAATTGATGAAGACTTAAACGGTCACGATGAGATCAAATCAAAAAATGCAGAAACTGAAAAAAAATCACCGTCAAAGAGCAAAAAGAAACCGGCCGAAAATGGATCAGAACAGGAAAAACATGATCTAAAGGAAGAGATTGCTCCTGAAACCAAAGAGACGAAAAAGACTCCCATCAAGTCGCCTAGGAAGCGAGAAAAACAAGAAGATCTAGGTAAAAACGGAGACCAAAAGCCCGAACCTGAGGATAAACTCGTTAAACATAAGTCTGAAGGTGAAGACATGGACCCTCTGGTTATAGCTTCAGACGAACCTGATCCAGAACTCCAATTCGACGAAACCTCAGATTTGGAGTCCGGTAAAGGCTCCCCGTTGATTCCCAGATGCAAGACTCGCAGATCACATACTAGAAACATCCCCACACCTAAAACTCCCAAATCTCTCGACTCAGACTCTGATAAAGCATCCGTATCAGCCACACCGGACATCCCGGATACCGAAAGCACCAAAGCTGAAAATTTAAACGACACCCACGACTCACTGGAAGCTGAAAACGCGTCGATTATTGCCGAGGCCGGAAGTGACGTCACGAGGTTAAACTATACTGCCTTTGAGGACTCTGAAGTGTCAGAGGACCAGAGTTACTTCAATTCTGTAAGAGAAAAGTCATTGCGAGATACACTACGCCATCTGTCGCCTAGGAGACCTATTCATGGTTCAGATTCGTACAGGGTTCGAGCGATGAAGAATAATAAATCAAAACTGGAGACGTCGTTGAATGATTCACTGGATCGTGTGGTTGGTATGAAGAGGAAGAGGAGTTTTACTCCAGAAGAGAGGAAGAAATTCAAGGCCGATTCTCCTGGTCTTGTAGGATTTTTTTCGAGTCCTTTGAAGAGTTTCGGCAATCGGTTTTTGTATACCGCCGAAGATGGAGGTTCTACTCCGAAACTAACCGGGTATAAAGACGAACACAAAGATATTCACGAAGATATTAAGGGAATCGTTAGCGTAGATGACATAGAAAAGAAAAATTGGTGTTCAGTTATGTAATTTATGGTATTTTTTTATTAATTTAATTGACCGGAGTATGCAACTATGAAAAACGACTAGAGTTTATTTTCAAAACAGTTTGGAAATTGTGTATTGTTGAGTTATTCTATTTTTCATTGATGTATATACAAGTTTTACTTAAAAAAAACTATTTATTTCGTTCAGTGTGTTATTATATCATTAAAGAATTTGACTCTTCTATTACTGGTCGCTTTTCATCAGAAGGAAGTCGTTCTTACCAAATTAAGCATGAACATTTTTTATAAAAATGTTAAAGCGCAGTGGATAGAGAATATCAAGTTTATATTATTAATAGTTTTTTTATGTAATGGATATATTATGTAAGATTCTTTTTGATGCTATACAGGAAGTTAGGCACAGTTATTTGTTAGTTAACTGATTTATATATTATGAATTTTTTATTCGTCATAAGGTCGTCTGCTAGTTCTTTTTTGTACGATTTTACTTTTATTGATCATTAAACACTCTCCAGCCAATATGTTGTCTTTTATTGTTGAATTTCTAAATAAGTAATTTTTAATAAATTGATCAGAACTCCAATTCGACGAAACCTCAAATTTGGAGTCAGGTAAGGATTCCCCGTTGATCCCGAGGTGCAAGACTCGCAAATCACATACTAGAAACGTCACCACACCGAAAAGTCCCAAATCCCTCGACTCAGACTCGGATAAAGCATCTGTATCAGCCACATCGGATATCCCAGATACTGAAAGCACCAAATACTACCTATAAGAACTACGCCATCTAATCTGTTGCCTAGAAGACCTATTCATGGTTTAGACATCAGTATACATACACATATAGGGTTACCAGATGAAAACGTGTTCACCCAGGTTTGACAAACCTTCCAAAAAAATCCGGATGTCTAAATTTTTTAGCAAAGTAACATTTTTTACATTACATACTTATTGATGTTCACATATCAATATAAAACACGAGCGGAAACATTTATATTTAAACTGTCAAAACCTAAAATTTGCAAAGTAAAACAATAAATTTACACTGCTGAACTTATCTACGATTTGTTAACATTCAGGAGGTGTTAATTAGTAAATTGGAGCAAATTTTGATTTTTTTCGTTGATGACAATGCACTACCATGCAGGACAATGGAAGTGGGTCACTTTTGTAACGAAGAGGGAATAACGTGTTTAGGATGGCCCGCTAATTCATCAATAGAACATGCTTGGGACATCCTAAAATCACGAATAAAGAAACGAAATAACCTACCCTTAACGAGAATTAAGAATTGCAGCAATCGAAGAATGGGAACAAATTACACAGGCCTACCTAGATAATCTGATAGGTGGCATGCCAATAAATGGTCTGAGAGAGTGCATTAATGACCGAGAAGGAAATACGGTACGTCTGTCCGTTCTGTAGCTACGGGGTATCCGTGAGAGGGGAAACGATCTTCTTTCGATGTTTTTCGTAAAAAATTCGCGTCCCATCAATAAAAATTCGACAAATTTTCAAGTAGCGAATAAAATGAGTGGGCGGAGCGATTTGCGATGACGTACTCGTCAAGTCGACGTATAAAATATATTGCTGCTTATTTAAATGTTTTTTGTCCGCATTCCTTTCGTAGACACAGATCCAGCAGATGTACTGTACAGACAATATTAATTTCAATACTTTTCATCATTCTTTGTTTTTACACTTCAATTTTTCGAAAAACACGAAAAAAAAATTTGAAAATTCGGAATTTTTTGAAAAATTTTTTGGAATTTTTTTTTAGTTTGTACAAAAATAAATAATTTCTTGATAATATGGCAACATAGGTAGTAGATTAAATTTACAAGAAAATCCAGAAAAGATCCAGTGGTTCTCAAAATTTTAGCAAAAAATCATTTTTTTTGGTAATTTTCAAAGTAAAATAACTCCGTTATTTTGGACTTATTTAAAAAACGATAAAGAGAAAATATGTTTCTTTTATCGAGATCCACCACCCCTTAAAATACTTGCACTTATTTCTGGGACACCCTGTATATAACAATATTTTTATTAAGCGGTATTATTGGTTATATTATGAATTATTATTGGGTGAAAAAATTGCTTTTTACTGTGGTAGAACCGTAGAATTCGTTACACTACCTTTCAAGAAAATATAACCGGCTCAGGTATAGAAAGATATATCTCGCTATTCGAAAAGAATACAGCTAAACGATAAGAGTAAGGAGTCTAGTATTACCATTTCTTAGATATTAGTACATTTTTAAACGTCTGGTATACTAGACTTTATTATGGTCCATCATTTAGGCAGATTTCAGTTTACTTGACTACTGACGCTGGATTCGGTAATTTCGATATCTGTGATTCACGTACACCTAACAAAAAATATTTTTCCCTTTTTCCTCACCTTATCAACGATGTTTATCAATTTCCATCGCTGCTCCTCGGCGACGTGAATCCTGATCTTTCCAAAACGCGCAGGATCGTCACATCCCCAGTCCAAAGCCGCACTACGCGTAGTCCGACTTTCCACGGGCGCCAGTTTTCATCCAAGAGGGAGGAAAACTCCATCCGTTTTCCTATCGCGGTTCCATAACATTTGGAGCGAGCGGCCGCGACATAAAGTGACATTTTCTTCACAGAAAATAAGCTAGAAGCAGTCGGAAAAACTAAACGGTGAGTGAAAGAGGTGGAAAAATAATGATTTATTGTTTTATCTATATCGGGGGAAGATTATAGTTTTCATTAAACAATGAAATTAGGTGTTTACTTCGTACGATTCAGGGAATTGATTTATTCTAATTCGGGTTTGGTTAAAATGCAGAATATTTTAGGGGAAAATACGAATGAGAATACAGTTGAATATTTTTAAAGTCTAAATTTATTCTAAAGGACTCCCACTAAATGTCAAAGGAGTACAGAATCTTTAACTCGAATTATTTTGGGGATGTTATTGAAAAAAACTTCCTAAATTAAAAGTCAGTCATGAATGGTATAAACATTTACTGTTTTCTTTTATTTTTTATAGAAACTGATGGAATATAACTTTGTATAATGTTTGCTTAGGCAATAATGCAATGCATATATGTATATTCAGAGAGGGAATCAACTGTCATTTCATCCAGCTTGGGCTATTTATAGTCTGTGTAGGTTTGTTTGTTGATTGAATCGAAGTTTTTAAGATGATTAAAAGAAAATATGAATTTTATATAATACATATCTTGTTTTTGATGAATTAAAAGTTTTCAGTTTTAGGTAGGCCAAAGAAAAAAATACACGAGCTTATTTTTTTGAGTCCTTAATTTTAATTAGTCGTCAAAAGTCTTGTAATGCTATTAATGAAGTAAACTCTTTAAATTTTCTTATTTATAATTAAATGAGTCTGATTATGAAGCATTTAGAAATTACATTGAATTTTTTATTTATTCTGGAACCTGACATAATTTGATCAAGTCTCTGCTTCATACACTGATTTGGTATTATCAGTAGTATCGAAAAATTTCACCTGGTTCAGTAATTCACATCTATGAAACCTTATTTCTTTTGAGTGCTTTGGCTCAAAGTACTCCAGATGATTATACTGTCTTAGAGTATTGTGGCTTTGATATAAAGTTTAGTTTTTTGATCAATAAACTACTGTTCTTTGTTCTTTTATATAATAAAGCTAGAGGAAGGAAAATTTCATTGGTTTTCCATATCGTATCGTGGTTCCATAACATTTGGAACGAGCAGCGCGACATAAAGTGACATTTTCTTCACAGAAATCAAGCTAGAAGCAGTCAGAAAACCTAAACGGTGAATGAAATTGATGGAAAAATAATGATTTATTGTTTTATCTATATAGGAGAAAGACTGTAGTTTCCATTAAACAATGAACAATGAACAATGTAACTAGGAGTTTACTTCGAATGATTCAGGGAATTGATTTATTCTAATTCGGGTATGGTTAAAATACAGAATATTTTAGGGGAATACGAATGAGAATACGGTTGAATATGTTTAAAGTCTAAATTTATACTAAAGGACTCTCACTAAATGTCAAAGGAGTACAGAATCTTTAACTCGAATTATTTTAGGAATGTTATTGAAAAAAACTTTTTAAAATGAAGGTCAGTCATGAATGGTATAAACATTTAGTGTTTCCTTTTAATTTTTATAGAAACTGATGAAATATAACTTTGTAAAATGTTCGCTTAAGCAATAATGCAATGCATACACAGTACGTCTGTCCGTTCTGTAGCTACGGGGTATCCGTGAGAGGGGAAACGATATTCTCTCGATGTTTTTCCTAAAAAAATAGAGGACGCGTCCCATCAATAAAAATTCAACAAATTTGCAAGTAGCCAATAAAATGAGTGGGCGGAGCGATTTGCGGTGACGCACTCGTCAAATCGACGTATAAAATATATTGCTGTTTATTTAAATGTTTTTTGTCCGCATTCCTTTCATAGACACAGATCCAGCAGATGTACTGTACATATGTCTATTCAGAGAGAGAATCACCTGTGTCATTTCATCCAGCTTGGGCTATTTATAGTCTGTGTAGGTTTGTTTGTTGATTGAATCGAAGTTCTTAAGATGATTAAAGGAAAATATTAATTTTATTAATTATATTTATATATTTTTTTTTATTAGTCTCCGTTTATCACACACTGATTTGGTATTATCACAAATATGGAAGTAATTTCACCTGGTTTAGTTATTCCCGTCTATGAAAAATTTCTTTTAAGCGCTTTAGCTCAAAGTGCTCCAGATAATTAAACTGTCTTAGAGTATTGTGGCTTTGATATGAAGTTTAGTTTTTTTGATGAATAAACTACTGTTCTTTCATATAACAAAGCTAAAGGAAGGAAAACTTCATCGGTTTTTCATATCGTGGTTCCATAACATTTGGAACGAGCAGCGCGACATAAAGTGACATTTTCTTCACAGAAAACAAGCTAGAAGCAGTCGGAAAACCTAAACGGTGAATGAAATTGATGGAAAAATAATGATATATTCTTTTATCCATAACAAGGGAAGGCTATAGTTTTTATTAAACAATGTAACTAGATGTTTACTTCATACGATTCAGGGAATTGATTTATTCTAATTCGGGTTTGGATTAAAATGCAGAATATTTTAGGGGAAAATACGGTTGAATATCTTTAAAGTCTAAATTTATACTAAAGGACTCTCACTAAATGTCAAAGGAGTACAGAATCTTTAACTCGAATTATTTTGGGGATGTTATTGAAAAAAGTTTTTTAAATTAAAGGTCAGTCATGAATGGTACAAACATTTAGTGTTTACTTTTGTTTAATTTTTGTAGAAACTGATGGAATATAACTTTGTATAATGTTTGTTTAGGCAATAATGCAATGTCGATATGTATATTCAGAGATAATCAAGTGTCATTTCATCCAGCTTGGGCTATTTATAGTCTGCGTAGGTTTGTTTGTTGATTGATTCGAAGTTCTTAAGATGATTAAAGTAAAATATGAATTTTATATAATACATATCTTGTTTTTGATGAATTAAAAGTTTTCAGTTTTAGGTAGGCCTAAGAAAAAAATACGCGAGCTTATTTTTTTGAGTCCTTAATTTTAATTAGTCGTCAAAAGTCTTCTAATGCTATTAATGAAGTAAACTGTTTAAATTTTCTTATTAATAATTAAATGAGTCTGATTATGAAGCATTTAGAAATTACATTTAATTTTTTATTTATTCTGGAACCTGACATAATTTGATCAAGTCTCCGTTTATCACACACTGATTTGGTATTATCACAAATATGGAAGTAATTTCACCTGGTTTAGTTATTCCCGTCTATGAAAAATTTCTTTTTATGCGCTTTGGCTCAAAGTGCTCCAGATAATTAAACTGTCTTAGAGTATTGTGGCTTTGCTATGAAGTTTAGTTTTTTTGATGAATAAACTACTGTTCTTTCATATAACAAAGCTAAAGGAAGGAAAACTTCATCGGTTTTTCCTATCGCGGTTCCATAACAAATTGGAACGAGCAGCGCGACATAAAGTGACATTTTCTTCACAGAAATCAAGCTAGAAGCAATCGGAAAAACTAAACGGTGAATGAAATTGATGGAAAAATAATGATATATTCTTTTATCCATAACAGGGGAAGGCTATAGTTTTCATTAAACAATGTAACTAGATGTTTACTTCGTACGATTCAGGGAATTGATTTTTTCTAATTCGGGTTTGGGTTAAAATGCAGAATATTTTAGGGGATAATACCAATGAGAATACTGTTGAACATCTTTGAAGTCTAAATTTATACTAAAGGACTCTCACTAAATGTCAAAGGAGTACAGAATCTTTAACTCGAATTATTTTGGGGATGTTATTGAAAAAAGTTTTTTAAATTAAAGGTCAGTCATGAATGGTACAAACATTTAGTGTTTCCGTTTATTTAATTTTTGTAGAAACTGATGGAATATAACTTTGTATAATGTTTGTTTAGGCAATACTGCAATGTCTATATGTATATTCAGAGAGAATCAAGTGTCATTTCATCCAGCTTGAGCTACTTATAGTCTGTGTAGGTTTGTTTGTTAAATGAATGGAAGTTCCTAAGATGATTAAAGAAAAATATGAATTTTATATAATATCGTGTTTTGAGGATTGAAATGTTTTCTTATAAGGTCAAAGAAATAGCTACTAACCAAACCAAACCAAAAACTTCTGATCTTATTCAAGTAAACGTGATCGTTTTTCTCTTTTTGAATTAATAAAGATGATTGCGAAGCTATAAACTATTCCAATGTTTTATTTTTACTTTTGGTGTAATAGTGTTTATCACTGGCTTAGTAATTTAGAAATATCAAAGTGTCATTTTATCTAGCTTCAGATATTTATAGTCTTTGAAGATATATTTCTTGCAGGAACCAAAGCACTCAAAACGATTAAACTGTCTTAGAAAATTAGTTTTGATATGAACTACGATTAAATACTAGTGTACAGGGTGTCCCATTTTCGTGTGTTTTACAGGGTATCTCGCTTATAGGTAGAGATACAAAGATGCGGTTTTCACGTCACTGTGCTACTTTTTTATGAAACTAAAGATGCTATACACAGATTTGTCCTAGCCCTCTTAGTTCCCACCATGTTCCCACCCTGATGAAGATGTAAACGAAACGTCGTTGCAGGGTGGAACCACAGATTAGGTATACTATATGTATACAGATAAAAATCTTATCCCTAATTCGTGGTACGAAAATTGTTTTTTATGACGATGTGTAAACGAGTAAAATTTCCTACGCGCAAAAATAAACTCGCGTAAAATAACAATAAACAGCGTAATAGAGAGATATCGCTAAACCGAATAGTGGACATGGACGTTAATAAGGCCAGGTGTTATTTCCTTTACGTGAGGTGGTTTAACTCTCTTCATTTATAGTTATGGGATCGGAAAGAATTCTGTTCGCGTCGCGTCCGCTATTTAAACTTAACCTGACTTTGAATTTAAAACTTTGAAATTGTTTTGTTTACTAGCTTTTTAAAACTAAAGGGCTAAAGTGCTTATTTCCAGTGATTTATTGCCAGTGGGTTTAGGGCAACAAGCAACAAATTCTCTTAGAAGGGCTAAGTCGTCATCTGCTGTAAACCTAAGCCTCTTTATAGGTTCTTTAATATTGGAAGAGGCTTAAATATCAAATTACCTAATAAAACTAAAGT